CACTGCACTGCCCTTACCCTACTGTTCGCTCTGCTAGTCTACTGCTGTCATGGCTACCCCTAGTGTCCTCGCTTTTGACGCTGAGGGTCGGGCCATTGACTTTGACGTCTGGGTAGATGACCTGCAGCTTTTCCTACAGTGCGATAGGGCAGACGGTCTCTCCCTCTTTGACCTCACCTCTGGTGCCTCTCCTGCCCCTGCTGCTGATGCCGACGCCACTGTTCGCTCACAGTGGGCCACTCGCGATGCTGCTGCACGTCTTGCTGTGCGTCGCCACCTGCCTACCTCTGAGCGTGCGCACTTTAGCCAGTACAAGAGTGCTCAGACCTTGTACGACGCTGTAGTTGCGCGCTACTCCTCCCCTGCCACTGCTGCACTGAGCCGCCTCATGCTACCGTACCTCTTCCCTGACCTTGCTGCCTTTCCCACAGTCGCTGACCTCATTACGCACCTCCGCACTAGTGACACTCGCTACCGCGCTGCGCTTCCTGCTGAATTCTGCGCCAAGAACCCCCCCCCCATGTACATCACCCTCTACTACATAGTCACCCGGCTCCCTGACTCCCTTCGCGTAGTCAGGGACCACTTCCTCTCAGTTTGCCCCACCACTCTCACCGTTGACCTCCTCGAGAAGGCCCTCCTAGCAGCAGAAAAGAGCATAGTAGCTGTAGGAGCCTCTCGTGGTGACCCTCGCACCCCCATCTTTGAGGGGTGTTCCCCCTCCCCCCTTTTGCCCTCTGTTGCCTCTGCTGCTGCGGCCGACCTCGTTGGGCTTGAGTCGGTCGGTGCGGCGTCTACCCCTAGCGGGAGACGCCGCCCTGGCAAGGGCAAGGGGGGCAGGGGCACTGGAGGAGCTAGCGGGGGCGGTGGAGGCGGCGGTGGAGGCGGTGGAGGGGGTGGGGGTGGCGGTGGGGGTGGTGGCGGGGGTGGAGGTGTCGGTGGCGGCAGTGGAGGCGGAGGCGGCGGCGGCGGTGGCGGTGGGAGCGGAGGTGGCGGCGGTGGAGGAGGCGGCGGCGGAGGAGGTGGAGCTGGTCGGGGTGGCGCTGCGCAGAGGGTCGGCTCCGGTGGTGGTCAGCGCCAGCAGCAGCAGCAGCGCACTCGTGACATCCCCCCCCCTCAGCAGCTCCGTGAGTGGTACGCTGCACGCCAGCGGGGTGGGGGTACTGGTCTGTGCACCTACGTCCTACGCACCGGAGACCGCGCGGGTGAGCAGTGCTGGGGTGCGCACTCCACCCAGCGCTGCTTTGGCCGCCTGACGGACGCTTGGCGTCACCAGTTCCCTGAGGCCACTGAGATCCCCCGCTGGGGTGAGCTGTCTAGGGCGGGTGTAGCTGTCTTTGACCTTGACTTTGATGCTATTCTTGCTGCCATGTATACTGTGACTATTAGTGATGAGGGTGACTGCTACCGGTGTTTTCCGCCCGACCCGGGCATTGAGTCTGCTGCTCTAGGTACTGGTGAGGCTGCTGCTCTAGGTGCTAGCGAGGCTGCTGCTCTAGGTACTCGTGCGTCTGCTCCCTCAGGTGCTGGTGAGTCTGCTCTCTCAGGTTCTGCGTCGGCTTCGGCCTCCCACACCTTCACCCTTGACTCGGGGGCTTCTCGCTCCTTCTTTCGAGACCGCACCACACTCACGCCGCTTGGCCGGCCAGTTGCAGTCTCTCTGGCAGACCCCTCTGGGGGTCCTGTCCTTGCTCACTTCTCCACTGTCCTCCCGTGTCCGGCGGCCCCCTCTGGCACCCTGTCTGGTCTTTACCTCCCCTCGTTCTCTACGAACTTGGTAAGTGGTGCTGACCTACAGGATGCGGGGGTTCACCAGTTCACTCCTGCGAGTCAGCGGGTGACCCACTGCACAGACGCTCGGACAGGCCGACACCTGGCCACGTTTACACGTCGGCCGGGGTCGAGCCTGTACACACTGACCACTGCGTCTCCTCCAGTCACTGCGTCTGGTCAGGTAGCTGCGTCGGGTCAGGTGTTTGCTGCAGCGTCCAGGTCTGGTCCTGAGTCTGCCCCCTGTTCGTGTCGCCTTCTGTCTCACGAGACTCTCCTCTGGCACCACCGCCTTGGTCACCCCTCCCTGCTTCGTCTCCGAGGCATGGCCTCCCGTGTCCTTGTCTCTGGTCTTCCCTGGTCCCTCCCTCCCCTTCCTCCGGGGCCTGGCCCTACCTGCGTCCCCTGTGTCGAGGGGCGGCAGCGGGCTGCCCCTCACTCCTCCCAGTTTCCTCCGACAGAGGCCCCGCTGCAGACGCTTCACATGGACGTGTGGGGCCCGGCCCGCGTCCGTGGACAGGGTCACGAGCGCTACTTCCTGCTGGTGGTTGACGACTACCTGTGCCTCATGCTGCCCTTCTGAGGTGCCTGCACGTTGACTCCACGTTGACCTTACCTCTACTTCTCCGCTCTCCCCGTTGACTCTTATGTGCGCCCATACAGGCAGTGAACTACCTGTGCCTCATGCTGCCCTTCTGAGGTGCCTGCACGTTGACTCCACGTTGACCTTACCTCTACTTCTCCGCTCTCCCTGTTGACTCTTATGTGCGCCCATACAGGCAGTGAACTACCTGTGCCTCATGCTGCCCTTCTGAGGTGCCTGCACGTTGACTCCACGTTGACCTTACCTCTACTTCTCCGCTCTCCCCGTTGACTCTTATGTGCGCCCATACAGGCAGTGAACTACCTGTGCCTCATGCTGCCCTTCTGAGGTGCCTGCACGTTGACTCCACGTTGACCTTACCTCTACTTCTCCGCTCTCCCCGTTGACTCTTATGTGCGCCCATACAGGCAGTGAACTACCTGTGCCTCATGCTGCCCTTCTGAGGTGCCTGCACGTTGACTCCACGTTGACCTTACCTCTACTTCTCCGCTCTCCCCGTTGACTCTTATGTGCGCCCATACAGGCAGTGAACTACCTGTGCCTCATGCTGCCCTTCTGAGGTGCCTGCACGTTGACTCCACGTTGACCTTACCTCTACTTCTCCGCTCTCCCCGTTGACTCTTATGTGCGCCCATACAGGCAGTGAACTACCTGTGCCTCATGCTGCCCTTCTGAGGTGCCTGCACGTTGACTCCACGTTGACCTTACCTCTACTTCTCCGCTCTCCCCGTTGACTCTTATGTGCGCCCATACAGGCAGTGAACTACCTGTGCCTCATGCTGCCCTTCTGAGGTGCCTGCACGTTGACTCCACGTTGACCTTACCTCTACTTCTCCGCTCTCCCCGTTGACTCTTATGTGCGCCCATACAGGCAGTGAACTACCTGTGCCTCATGCTGCCCTTCTGAGGTGCCTGCACGTTGACTCCACGTTGACCTTACCTCTACTTCTCCACTCTCCCCGTTGACTCTTATGTGCGCCCATACAGGCAGTGAACTACCTGTGCCTCATGCTGCCCTTCTGAGGTGCCTGCACGTTGACTCCACGTTGACCTTACCTCTACTTCTCCGCTCTCCCCGTTGACTCTTATGTGCGCCCATACAGGCAGTGAACTACCTGTGCCTCATGCTGCCCTTCTGAGGTGCCTGCACGTTGACTCCACGTTGACCTTACCTCTACTTCTCCGCTCTCCCCGTTGACTCTTATGTGCGCCCATACAGGCAGTGAACTACCTGTGCCTCATGCTGCCCTTCTGAGGTGCCTGCACGTTGACTCCACGTTGACCTTACCTCTACTTCTCCGCTCTCCCCGTTGACTCTTATGTGCGCCCATACAGGCAGTGAACTACCTGTGCCTCATGCTGCCCTTCTGAGGTGCCTGCACGTTGACTCCACGTTGACCTTACCTCTACTTCTCCGCTCTCCCCGTTGACTCTTATGTGCGCCCATACAGACAGTGAACTACCTGTGCCTCATGCTGCCCTTCTGAGGTGCCTGCACGTTGACTCCACGTTGACCTTACCTCTACTTCTCCGCTCTCCCCGTTGACTCTTATGTGCGCCCATACCACGTTGACCTTACCTCTACTTCTCCGCTCTCCCCGTTGACTCTTATGTGCGCCCATACAGGCAGTGAACTACCTGTGCCTCATGCTGCCCTTCTGAGGTGCCTGCACGTTGACTCCACGTTGACCTTACCTCTACTTCTCCGCTCTCCCCGTTGACTCTTATGTGCGCCCATACAGGCAGTGAACTACCTGTGCCTCATGCTGCCCTTCTGAGGTGCCTGCACGTTGACTCCACGTTGACCTTACCTCTACTTCTCCGCTCTCCCCGTTGACTCTTATGTGCGCCCATACAGGCAGTGAACTACCTGTGCCTCATGCTGCCCTTCTGAGGTGCCTGCACGTTGACTCCACGTTGACCTTACCTCTACTTCTCCGCTCTCCCCGTTGACTCTTATGTGCGCCCATACAGGCAGTGAACTACCTGTGCCTCATGCTGCCCTTCTGAGGTGCCTGCACGTTGACTCCACGTTGACCTTACCTCTACTTCTCCGCTCTCCCCGTTGACTCTTATGTGCGCCCATACAGGCAGTGAACTACCTGTGCCTCATGCTGCCCTTCTGAGGTGCCTGCACGTTGACTCCACGTTGACCTTACCTCTACTTCTCCACTCTCCAGGTAAGCCCCTCCCCTCTCTTCCATTCCATGCCCTCCCTGCCCCATTACCGTCCTGCTGCATGTCTTCTTATGCCACACAACACATGCGTGAAAGAATCAATGTACATGCTTCTTTCTCCTCCCTCTCCCTCTCTTCCCATCCCTACCCTCCTCCCCTCCCGCCCCTCCCGTCGAACCGTCCCTTCCATTCCCCCGCCCCTTCCCATCCCTCACCTCACACCCATCCCTCTCCCCCTTTCTCCAATCCTGCTGCGACAGCTGTACCTGATGTGGTTACCAGAGACGGCTTTGAGGCTCCCCAAAAGTGCGCCCCTTCCCCCTTCTTCCCGTCCCCATTTCTCCCCTCCTGCTGCATCAGCTGTACCTGATGTGGTTACCGGAACTGGGGCCCATGCGGTTACCACAGGATGACTTTGTGGGCAGTAAATCAACCAAGGTGAGATCAAATGTTCAGGTGTTTCAGGTGCCTTCAGGTGTTTCAGGTGCCTTCTGCTAGCCTTCAGGTTCTCAGGTGAGTGAGTGGAGTGCCCCTTGTTGTCTCCTCTCCTTCACCATCCTTCTGCATCTACCTCTCCTTCCGCATGTGCCCCTCACCTCACTGCCTGTTGCATGTGCATGAGTGTTTTCATGTGCATGTGCATGTGTATGTGCATGTGTATGTGTATGTGCATATGCATGTGTATGTGCATGTGCATGTGCATGTGTATGTGCATGTTTATGTGTATGTGTATGTGTATGTGTATGTGTATGTGTATGTGTATGTGTATGTGTATGTGTATGTGCATGTGAATGTGCATGTGTATGTGTATGTGTATGTGCATGTGCATGTGCATGTGCATGTGTATGTGTATGTGCAAACATGCATGCACACATGCACGCATCCATCAGAGCAGGGCCCACCAGTTCAACTACCGAACGCTGCTGGCTCACACAGCCAGTGACGTGCTCTCCTTACACAGTGAGTCTACTTGTGGGGTTACTTGTATCGTACTTGTACTGTACGTGTACTGTACTTGTAATGATCTCGTGGCTTATTTGTTTATGGTGCACTTTTAGCGAGTAAGATGTGGGACACGTGAGTTGCAGTAGTGTTACTTGCAGTGCTGCCTAACTTTCTTGATAGTGACTGTTCAATAAGCGTGATGATTGTTTGTTTTCTCTTGTTGGTTGATTCGCTTACTGCACCAAGAGCGACTCGACTCAGATTCATTCAGCATGCATGCAACGAGTGGGTCTTGAGATGCCACTAACGAATGTGCCTTGCATTGTGCTCCAGAATCCAGATTGCCTCCTTGTTCTCCTCTCCTCTACCTCACCTCTGGCTCATCTCATCCTACCCCTTTGCTTGCCTGTGATGTTCCCTCTCGTCCTCCACTCATAGAACTTCTGGGGCAGAACAGGCGAGAGCTGAAGGGGCAGGTGGCAGAGGGGGTGGAGAAGATGGGGTTAGAGCAGACGAAGCAGCAGCTGCAACAACCATCCCTTCCCCCCTTTCCCTCCCTTCTGCTCCCAACCCCCATCTCATCCCCCTCCCCTCCCAGAGCTGCAGGAGCAGAACAGGCGAGAGCTGAAGGGGCAGGTGGCAGAGGGGGTGGAGAAGATGGGGTTAGAGATGCTGCAGACGAAGCAGGACAGTGCGCGCACGGGCCACTGCTGATGATGCATCAACCATCCTTTCCCCTTGCTCCCCCTATTTTCCGCTGTCAACCCCCAAATCATCCCCCTCCCAGAGCTTCTGGAGCAGAGCAGGAGAGATTTGAAGGGGCAGGTAGCAGAGGGGGTGGAGAAGATGGGGTTAGAGATGCTGCAGACGAAGCAGGTCAGTGCGCGGGCCGCTGCTGACGTGGCGGACTGGTGGCAGCACGAGCAGGGCAGGCTGAAAGCCATGAGCCAGGACGTCGGGCAGCTGAAAGATATTGTCGGGCAGCACGCAAGGAAGCTGGAGGCCCAAGTGCGAGCGGTGCAGGTGGGTTGCCATGGGCTGGGAGAATTTGTGGGACGGCCGTCCACCTCGCTCGAAAAGATTTTGTAAGATAAAGATTTCCGTTCCATCCCATTGAGTTCGTTCCCGTTCCATCCCTTTATCTTCCTCTGCGGATAATCAGGGAGTCTGCTTTAGAGGCGCCTATAATGAGCACCTCCCTTCCTTTTTCCTCCCCTCACTGCCTTGCAAGAACTCAGGAAGCCTCTGGAAGCAGCGGGGAGCAACAGAGAGCCGGCAAGGATGGTTTCCCCTTGTTCGATGGGGGGGATAAAGAGGGCGACGAGGATGGGGAGTCAGCAAAGCAGGAGCAGCGGCAGAAGCAGCGGTATGAGTCGTTGAAGCACTTGTGGGTGGCGGATGACCGCCCTGCTCTCTGGCAGCAACGAGCCTTCCAGCGCCACGGGTCGTTTGGTTTTATAAAGTTCAGGTGAGACGAGGGGCCTGGGCGTGCGTGCAAGTCAGGAGGCAGTGGCATATGGGGATAAGGATGGATGGACTCCAGATTTGTTGCACTCGTCAACTTTAGGAGTTTTGAAAATGATGATGCAATGCAACGGGACAAGGTTCCGATTTGTTCTTCTCAATTCTCGAGTAGAGTCACAACCGCGTGTAACGATTCGATTTTTGCTTCAGTCGACTCAAAATCTCGGATAGGTTGTAGTTCTTAGTTCTAGCAATCTGCCACAATATGTATGGATTGTTGCAACACCTACCACACACATGCCCTCCTGCATCCTTCCCCTGACCCCTCCCACACCCGTCCTTCCCCTTCCAGCGCCTACCGTGTGACTCCTCGTTGGCAGTTCTGGGGTGGGCTTTGAGTCCTCATAAGCCCACAATTCCTACTGTTCCCCACTCACACCCACACCTTTCCCCCCCCAGTGCCTACCGAGTGAATGCATCCACAGTGGCAGTGCTAGGGCTAGCGTCCCTCCCCATGCACCATGGCCGCCGCTTCTCCTCCTGCCGCTGGCACGCCTCCTCCCCTGCTGCTGCTGGGAGGGTTGACTATGGGGGAGCTGCTGGTGCTGGTGGTGCTGCTGGTGCTGGTGCTGGTGGGGGTGGTGGGGGTGGTGGGGGTGGTGGGGGTGGTGGGGGTGGTGGGGGTGGTGGGGGTGGTGGGGGTGGTGGGGGTGGTGGGGGTGGTGGGGGTGGTGGGGGTGGTGGGGGTGGTGGGGGTGGTGGGGGTGGTGGGGGTGGTGGGGGTGGTGGGGGTGTGACCGAAGGCAAGCTTGTGCCTCTCTATGTGGAGGAGCATCATGATTATCTGGTAACCCCATGAATATCGAGGTGATTTTTGAGGCGCCTAAAGAATCATCTTAAGGCAAGCTTGTTCCGCTCTATGTGGAGGAGCATAGCATCATGGCGATCTGGTAACCCCATGAATTTCCAGTAACTCCCTCTTGCTTTTTCCGGTTTTTCTTGCCTTGAGCCGTCCCCAGAATCGCACCACGCTCACTGCGGGGTGCAGAGGTGCAGTTGCTGTGTGTGCCGTGCCGGGCCCACCTACTCATTTGAGCACCTCAAAAGCGCCTCTTGAGGAAAAGGCATGCCAATGCCAATAAAAGGCTCTCTTGGCACGCCTTTGCCTCTTCACCCCACCCCTTCTCCCTCCTTCTTCTTCTCCCTTTTCCCCTTCTCCCTTCCTTTTCGCCCTGGCAGTACGAGGCAGTGGTGCTGCTGTGTGTGCTGGACGCGCCTTCAGCAGCGTCAGGGGGCGTGTTGGAGGCGGAGGTCGATGGCGAGGTGCTCTTCCCCTTCGTGGAGCAGCCGGGACAGGTGAGGGCAGGTGGGGTGAAGATAGGTGAAGATAGGTGAAGATAGGTGAAGATAGGTGAAGATAGGTGAAGATAGGTGCTCATTGAGTGGCTGCACTTCCACCCTCTCTTTCGCCGGGCACCCACCCCCTTCCCAATGCTTCCCCACCTGCTTAATGCTCACACTCTTATCCCCTTCCCCAATCCACAGCCCATGCAAGACCCGTCAACCTTTCCCGCCAACATCGTCCTGTGTGGGCCGCCCATGTTCTGCGCCATCAGCCCCAGGGCGCTCACCAATGTTTCACCACCTGCTTCATGCCCACACACCCAACCCCTTCCCCAATCCACAGCCCATGCAAGACCCATCAACCTTTCCAGCCAACATAGTTCTCTGTGGGCCGCCCATGTTCGGAGCCATCAGCCCCAGGGCGCTCACCGAGTGGCTGCAATTCCACCCTCTCACCCCCTCGCACCCCTCTGTGTTGTTCCACCTGCTGCATGCTCCCACTCCCACTCGTCAGCCCATGGAGGACCCGTCAACTTTCCCTGCCAACATCGTCCTCTGTGGCCCCCCAATGTTCGGCGCTATCAGCCCCAGGGCGCTCATTGAATATCTGAACTGCCTCCCACTCCCACTCTCACTCCCGCTCCCACGCCACAGCCCATGGAGGATCCATCAACCTTCCCAGCCAACATAGTTCTCTGCGGGCCGCCCATGTTCGGCGCCATCAGCCCCCGGGCGCTCACCGAGTGGCTGCACTTCCACCGCCTGCTGCTGCCGGTGGACCGTTTTGTCCTTTATGACGCGGGCGGCGTGGCCAACCACGCTGACGTCAGCGGCGCGGTGGAGCCGTGGGTGCGAGCGGGGGTGGTGGAGGTGGTGGGATTCGAGGAGTCAACACAGTACGACGTGTGTTCTTATGCGCAGGTAAGCAGCTCTGTATTTTCCCGGGTATGATGCTGCTTATCCACTTAAGGAGTGTAGGAGTGGGTGCAGCCGTGGGTGCAGCCGTGGGTGCAGGCGTGGGTGCAGCCGTGGGTGCAGGCGTGGGTGCAGCCGTGGGTGCAGCCGTGGGTGCAGCCGTGGGTGCAGCCGTGGGTGCAGCCGTGGGTGCAGGCGTCGGTGCGGGCGGGGGTGGTGGAGGTCGTAAGGTTTGAGGAGTCAACAGAGTATGACGTGTGGCAATAAAGGCCTAGCCTAGTTGACACTCTTTTCCCCCTCCTTCCCCGCCAACTCCCACCCCCACCCCTCAGGCCCTCTCAAACCACGACTGTCTGTACGGCAACCGCCACAACGCCCGCTGGCTGCTCTTCGCCTACTTGACGCTCACTACTCTCTATCCCTCCCCACCCTCGCCAACTCCTACTCAGGCCCTCTCAACGCACGACTGTCTGTACAGCAATCGCCACGGGGCGCGGTGGCTGCTCTTTGCCGACCTGGACGAGTTTGTCGAGGTGCTGCCGCCCGCCACGCTGCAGCAGCTGCTACAAGACAACGCCGGCCGCCCGTGGATCACGTTCGGGTGCACCGTCTTCAACAGCTCGTTCTGCCGCCCGCAGGATCCATGGCAGGGCGGCACAACCAGGAGGAGAAGGAGGAGGTTGCTACAGGGAGGAGGGGAACAGGGAGGGGAAGGGGAAGGAGGAGAAGGAGGGGAACAGGGAGGGGAAGGAGGAGGAGAAGGAGGGGAACAGGGAGGGGAAGGGGGAAGAGGGGGAGGAGGGGATTGGGGTTCTAGCGGCATGGTTTCCTCCCGTCCATTCATAGTGGAGGGGGTGAGGTACCGGTGGCCACACGCCTACTGCATGAACACCTCCCTCTACCCGGACCACCTCTGTCTCGACCAGTTCGGCCACCGCAAATACATCCTCAACCCACGCCGCGTCTCCCTCGCCCAGGTGAGAGTTGCTCGCAGTGAATCACGCCTGGATGAACTTGACTTGAGGGTTACATCGTCTTTTCTGGCGCCGAAAAGTAAGTGAACGGACTTGACAGTTATATCGTCAACCCTCGCCGCTTCTCCCTCGCTCCCTACCTACCACCCCTCCCTCTCACAGATCCACGTGATCCTCAGGGTGTGATTAGTAGATTTCTGAGTTGATTCAAGAATCGACTTCTCCCTGACCTCCTACCTACCACCCCTCCCTCGCACAGATCCACGTGATCATCGGCGGCGATATGGACGGCCTGGATCTGCCGACAGACGTGGCGAGATTCGCGCACTACAGAGGGCTGACGACACGCGGGTACCCCATGTGCGACCTGGGTGCGCCCAGCCGCTGGTGGCGTTACCACGATGGGGTGGCGAGAATGGCCCAGGCTGCCCGCTCCTGCCCTGCTCTTGTCGCTCCAGTCCCTGAGGTGAGGCATGTTTTCAGCCATGGGCGCACGCGGCAGCACAGGGGGCTGACAGCGCGACCTGGGTGCTCCCAGTGCATGGTGGCGCTACCACAAGGGCATGGCCCCGATGGCCCCGATGGCCCCGATGGCCCCGATGGCCCCGATGGCGGCCCAGGCTGCTCGCTCCTGCCCTGCTCTTGTTGCTCCAGCTCTTGAGGCAGACAGGGCGGGGAATGTTGAGTCGACTCAAATGTCATCTTACCGAGTGTGTGGTGTGGTGGCGGCACTACGGTGGTGGGGTGGCCGGGGGAGAACAAGCAAAGGCTGCTCGCTTGTGCCCTGCACTTACTGAGTCGGTTCTTGGGGCGGACAGAGAGGTGAGGTGTGGTGAGATGAGGTGAAGTGAGGTCAGGTGTGGTTTCTCAGCTTTGCTTGTTCTCCCCCGCACCCACAAGGACACACATTCACGCACTCATGCACACACGTATGCACAGAGGCATGCGCACGTGCTCACATGCACACACATATACACGCACATAAACACACACACACACCCACACACACACACACACCCACACACACACACACACACACACACACACAATCACGCACATCCGCTGTTCCCCTTTTGTTTGCATGGCCCATCACAAAGCCAACCTCCCCCACACCTCCCTACCTACCCCTTTGCCTCCTCACCCCATCCCATACCACCCCACCCCACCCCACCCCACCACACATGCAGGGCTGCACAGCGCAGGCTCTTGCGAGAAGCATTGCATCGTCGTGACACGATGGGCTAAAGCTCGCTCGCTACCATGAGTTGCCTTCCTGTGTCAGCCACGCCACGCCTGCCTGGCCCAAAAAAGTCCTGCTGCCTTGTGACTACTTTGGACATTGGCTGGTATGAGTCACCAACAAGACTGCTGGAAGGAAGGCTTGCCGAACGAGTTGGCTTCTTTCCTGCGTGAGGAGGCCAGTGCAATAGGCATGCTGTATTCTTCTGTGTACTAGTAACAAGAGTCTGCCAGGCAGTGCCATAGCTTCTTTAAATTCCGGTAGGGTGCTTAAGCTAGTCAGTGCGATCATTGCACTCGTGCACCCTGGGTCAACAAACAATCATTCTCAGAGCACGAGTACCGGAATCCTACACTGGGAGATAAGCACCACAAACGAAGAGTGAGCGTGTTGTGGATAAAGCGTACATATATTCGTTATGCTAAAGAATACAAAGCCTTGCAAGGTGACAGCCATGCCCTATTCTATCAGATCACCAACATAATTTCCTAGCAAAAGGTAACAAAAGCTCCGAGATCGGAGGGGGGCCTCCACAGCCTTTAGCATCAAGAAAATCGAGCATTGGGAGTTGATTTTGTATTTCATCAGGCAGAACCGCCAGCTGCTTGCAGTTGCGGAGATTCAGGCACTTGAGTCTCCTAAGTTGAGACAAGCCAGGAGGGAGAGAGCGGACAGAAGAGCTGCTGATCTCCAGATCAACGAGGCAGGATAATTCAGAGAGAGACGCAGGGAGACGAGTGAGGGATGAGCAGTCTGGTAAGTCCAGGTGGCGCAGCCTTGAGAGCGCGCCAAGCTCTTTTGGAAGAGAACTTAACTTTCGTGCGTGAATCTGCAGGGATGTCAGGTGCTGAAGGGTTGTGATAGCCGTAGGCAGCCGTGTGAACTCATCACTCAAGGTATAAATGCACAGCTGTCGTAGCTCCTGCAAAGTCGATCCATCAGATTCCAGCAGATTTTCCAAGCTGCGAACTCCCATCATCAATGTTAAGTTGCGGAGGCGAGAAAGACTGGTCAACGTGAAAAGGAACTCTTCCGCCTCCCCCCCATCTGCTCCCAATCCCAACGCCAACTCCAAACGCTCCAGACCTGAGAGATTGGCAGAAATCGCCAAGACACCTGCTGCATCAACAAAACCCAAGCGCACATCTCTGAGCTTCGAAAGCAGTGACATGTCTGGCAGAGGTACCACCTGCTCACTGATGAGGTAATATAAAGTCTGGAGGCTGAAGGGTAGAGTCTGGAGGGTTCCGTTCAGGTGCTCACAATCCCTTAGCTCCAACTGCTCCAGCCTGGTAAGGCGGTCCAACCTCCTGGGGATTAAAGAGAGACTGGGACAGTTTTTAATCTTCAGTACTCGAAGGCTGACTAGAGCTGTCAAGGATTCCGGAAGCTCCTGGATGTCTGGGCAATTCTGAATGTAAATCTCCTGCAGGTTTGTCATCTCCCCCAAGCCATCTGGAAGCTCGTCAATACTGCACTGATCCAGTGACAGCCTGGTCAATGAAACCAGCTGTGAGAAAGAGGGCGGCAGATGCGCTTCAATGTTTTCCTTGAGACGGAAGCTTCGAAGATTGGTTAGTTCACCCAAATCTTCTGGAAGGGAGCGGATAGACGAGCTGTGAAGGTGCAGAGATTGGAGTCCTGTGAGGCAACCGAACTCTGGTAACTCATCCATCTCCTCACATCCGAGCAGAACGAACGACTCCAGAGATGCGAGTCTGGTGAAGGAAGCAGGCATACGGAGAAGAGGCAGACTGTCCAGCACCAGGGTCTTCAGAGCTGGAAGATCTCCAAAATTCTCGGGCAGAGTGAAGATGCTGCAATTGGAAATTGTCAGCTTTTCCAGGCAGGAAAGAGACGTAAATTGGTCAGTCAAATCGGTGAGGTATCTACAGTAACGGATGCTCAGTTCTTCAAGGCAAGGCATCACCTCTCCCAGACTGTCTGGAAGGCTCTCTTGCTCGTTGCAATCTATGAGCTGCAGGCGTTTCAGCGATCTGTAAGGAAATGTTCGCGGAAAAAAAACGCTGAACTGTGCATGGCAGATGCCCAGTTTCAATGTGTTGAGAAAAGGTAGTTGTGCAAGAGAAAAGGCAGGAGGAGTTTCAGAAATCAGACGAATCTCATTGGGCAAGGAGAGGCTGGTGAGGTTGGTGAGATGGAGGAGGTTGGAAAGCTGCTCGTAGTGGAGGTAGGGGGTTTCTATGGATAGTTCCGTCAGAGAAGCTAGGGAGTTGCATTTTGACGAACTGAGGATAAAAGTATTGGGCAAGACGAGGGTGCATAGATTCTGAAGCTGGAAGAAAGAAGCTGGTGGCCTCACATTTTTCCGAAGACAAGAAAGCGACAGCTGCTCCAGATCCGGACAACCGCGAAAGAAATTATCCAAGCCAGGTTTGGTTATCGGGCAGTGCTTCTTTCCACCTTCGTCTGCTGCCAGAGTCAACTTCCCGACATGAAACGCTCTCAGCCTAGGGCACGCAGCGGCAAGGTCAGTAAGAAAGGCGTTGTCCAGAATTTCCACACTGCTATCCGACAGGTGCAGATGCATCCCAAAATGTGCGAGGTCGGGGTGGGATGTTTTTTAGGGATTGCGAAGGAGTATCTTTCCTAAACCTACCTACAGGTTGCATTTCTGGGTTCGCGACTCGGGAATCAGTGGGGTGGAGCATCGAAGAAATTTCCACGCCACACTCGCGAGCGTTATTATTGGTCGAACCATTTCGACTTCATCCAGGAAACTTCCAACAAACCATTCGGGCGATTGCTATTGGTCGTTCGGTTCAAACCTACTGCTCTGTAAGAATTGAGTTTTGATGTACTCCTTCCAAGAAGCAGCGGCTTGCGAAAGATTTGACACAAAACTGGTCCCGCTAAAGATGTTCTCCGTTACTGTGCACCCAGAAAAAATTGTGATGGAAATTGTCTGTTGAAATGTCCCTTTTCAAAAATAGTAAAGAGCTTTGAATGCTTAGACATGCATTTTTTAGGTCCTACTTGCCACCCAGCACTTTTATCAGTTTACATTACATGATTAACTACAGAGATTGTCTGTTATGATCGTTGGGAACGTTAAATTCACTACTAAATTGTTCTACCACCAACTAATTGGTAAAGATCACGACTCACTATGCCGTTTCAACGCTTTTTTTGCAAGTTTTATTCATAGCACTAAGTCTTAGATGATATGAGAAGGCTGTCAACCTAATTCAATGGCATTCGCATGATGGGAGACGATGTCGATTCAACGATGCGTACCTTTTTTTCCATGTTTTTAACCACCACTGAGTTATTAATGACATAATAAGGGTGCCAGCCCATTTTTGTGTCAATCGCATGCCACCACCATGAGTGATTCTATTTTGAACATCAAATGAAGTTAAACCGTTCAAGTACGGACATAAATATCACTGAGTTAAGTTTCATGTTAATTTTGAAAGTTTCCAGATGAATTTAATTTCTTTCAAATTGATCGAGTAGGCCTAGGGGAGGCTGGAAAACCACAGTCAAATTGATTCAAACCGCAAACGTGGTGGTTACGAGCCAAATTGCGTGCATTTGGGGCAAAAACCAACCAAGGTGAGTGTTTCAGCGTTCATGCATATGTATTAACGTATTATTAACATAAATGTGGGTGTCTCAGAAATAAATATCCTCAAGATTGGCAATAGTCTGGCCAAATATCTGGTTGCCATTTTGACATATTATTGCATGAGATTCTGTAACGTAATGTATTTAAGCAACCAATTTTTACAAAAGTTAGTGTTTCCAGCTGCAACGACACTCCCGCAATATTCACGAGTCAATATTCTGGGGGAAGGGGGAACAGCGACGCGCAGGTGGTTGACAAGTGGGAAATGCTGTCACTATGCGGCCGGTCTTCGGTTTTCAGTGCGACGGATGAACGTCTGGCTTCCAGAAACGACATGTGTGGGACTAAACAGTACTCAGCAGTGGTGACGTGTCCCATTATTTGTTATTCCAGAATTATTGCAACTGTTCAGGTAGTCTTCGGTTAAGGAGAATGTTTGGTAAATAGTGTATGCTGTTTCCGTAGACGTGTGATGTGACAACTCTGTACTCGTATGAACAACGTTGCGGGCAGATAGAAGGAAAATTGGGGTTTGGTGATTTCAGCATGTGACAGGCGCGTCTCTTGTCGCGTGCAGCACAGTTGCAGCAACCTGTGCTTTCGTAATGCTGATCGATTCTAGAACCTGGCGAGAGCTGCTGCTGAGCTGATGGGATCCTTTGTCGCTTTGCAACGTTTTGCTGCTGAGCTCTGAAAACTTTTATACCCCACCTCGTTCTACTGTACTTCACTCATATGTGCCTTGCAACTATGCCTTTCTCACAATCAGTACTTGTTTCTCCCCAATACATTGTGCAAGAAAAAAAAAAGTGAACGAGGAACAAAGCACGAAACGACAAAAGCGCCAGCGGTGCAAGGCATTGCGCTCAACTGCCCCCCGGCACAGTCATTTCTTGGCGACATTCAGCACCTTGTATTCCCTCCTCTTCCTCTTGTCTTGCACTTAGCTTGCATTTTTGTGCTCGATGGCTGTTAGGGCATCAGTCTCCTGCTCCTATCATATCGCCCTTAGGCGTTTTTTTCCCTTGTTGCCAGATGTTGGTCTTCGTGCGCAACAACGACAGTGTGTGAGCAGATGCGAGGGTGTTTGCAAATGATTACGTGAACTTCGCTGAGAGGTGCGCTGCTAAGTTGACTTGCTATGTCATGCAATTTTTCGTATCAAGCATTCTATCCGTTCCTAATGTCCCTTCTGTTACTCTGTGTCTTTCCGTCCTATGCGACGTGCCTGTCCAGCGCTTTGGCTTTGTATTTTCAGTTCGTGTTTCCTGATTTGCGACTGGTCTGATTGTTGCTCTTTCCTGTTTTGCCTATTCTCACTCCGCTTTTCGTTTCTCCTCCTTCCCGTTCCTTTCCCGACGTCCCCATTATTCGTATTTGTCTAATCATACAGAATCGTCACGGTTCTACCACAAATCGTCGTCGGAACTCCCTCGACTGCACCTCGTGCTGCGAATCGTCGCGGAAATGCATGCGGGCAATGATCCGCCGCAGCTATGTGCTATCGTGCCGAGAGTGGCGGCGAGAGATGCGGCTATGCCGCCGTTAGTGGCGATGACGATAAGTTTTCCTTTCCATGTTATGACTCGTTCATTCATGCCGTTCCCCCAGTAAACATTCCTCGTTTATTGATGCTAGCGCTTCTGCCATCGAGTGTGACTGCACCATCTCTGGTTTTCTCTCCCCTTCTCCAGACTACCCCCCAAGATTTTTCCCCCCCTGTGCTTGTGGTTTTCTCCCACACCCTCCTCACCCCAGTTCTCTCCCAACGCAGTGTTTAGGGTAACTAAATGACACAAGGGCATTGAAGAGTAGTGTTCGGGTTCCTGTGGGATTCTGGCTGCTTTGGAGAGGCGCCAGATAGTAATAGTTACATTCTGGTTTTGTTACGCTGATTATTTGTAAAATGTAATTATACATTTCTGTGGCATAAGAGCAAATTTCGATATACAGAACTATCAACCACGTTATAGCGGATTGCAGAAAGCAAATATTGCATGGCTGAAGGTTATTAGATTGCGCATTTGTAATCACATGCTCATAAGCTATAATAAGAGCTCCGAAATTAGTGTACATGTAACTGAATTTGTAGCCTTGCTTACCAGCATCTTGTTCCCATGGAAAATTGTCGCAACCAATCGAATTTCAAACGAGCGAACCAATCACGGTGCCAAAATGTCAATCCAAATATGTGCGATGCCAATCGGATCCAGCCATGAGACGCACGCTGATTGGCTTGTTCAGTTCGAAGTTACGAGAGAGTATTTTTTCTGTTCTCGCTAAGCGGCTGAGATAAGCGGCTGAGATCGGGTGTTCAGTTCGAAGTTACGAGAGAGAATGATTTCTGATAACGCTCGATAAGCGGCTGAGATTGAGCTGGTACTTTTCCAAGAAATTTCTCAACAGCCCATCCCAACCAGAGTTACGGAGAGGTATGTGAGCCACAATCTTTGGGGTAGGTCTTCACAATCTTACGGGAGAGCTACCGCAATGTAGCAATCCCGTAACTTCGGAAACTCGGACATTTTGGGATGTGGGTCAGATGCGGTAAACACGCAACAGCGTTGAGCACATCCTGGCGAGAAACGACCCGGTCTTCCTTCACGAGGAGAGACGACACGTGGCGTTGAGTGATTCGCCGCCAGCGACGGCAGATGGACGCGAGCAGCAGAGTGTACGCTGCGTCTGCGGAGGCGGGAGGAGGGGTCGGCAGGGGAGTGTCTCTTTGCCCGTAGAGAGGCTCTTCAGGCGTAACGTTTTCGTAGATGTACTTAGATCGAGGCGACACGATGTTCCACGAATCATCGCAAGAGGTTGGTCGTTCATGAGGCCAGAATATCCTGACGAGGATATCGTCAGGAAGATCGTTAATGTGAGTAGATCCAGAGTCCATACGCGCCATGTCTGTATGAGCTCACGAGCACTTTCTAGGTCCTCAGGAAAAGAACTGGCAGCGACTGAGAAAACAACAATAACACCGGAGCTGAACTGCAGTTTCACGAGTATCCTGCGCAAAAGATAGGCTCGATCGGAAAGGTCAGTCAATTCTGTCCATCCTGCCTACTACTAGGCAACAACTTCCTACGTCTGAATGTAGAGGAGGGTCGCCTTTTGTTCGACTCTGCGACTCTAGGTGCGACTTTCGCTTTGGAATTGAACCCATCACATGGAGCGGCACGCACACCTGGCTTTCTGCGGCTGCTGCACCGTGCATGCTCGCTCACTCGGGGCGAACCATTTCCGAGGCTCCTCGAAGGTAGCTTGATGCTCCCACTCACCCGGCTCTGCGCTTCGGGCAACGTCTACTTCGGGTTTCGCAGGAGCATCCCGTGAATTATCACACATACTCACCCGGCTCTGCGCTTCGGGCAATGTCTACTTCGGGTTTCGCGGGAGCATCTCGCGGCTCCCGTGAATTATCACACGTGGCATGATCATAGCGCAGCTCGCAGTGTGATCGTTAAAGCTTCTAATACAATACATGGCATGATTATGGTCGATACGGACGTATATCAGGTTATGGTCTAAAAAAAAACATACGCCTTGGACTGGTGGTTACTGCAGCATGCCGTTGGAGAGCGGGGTGACGCCGTGTTGCAGCACCTGGTGCAGCGCTGCGACGACTCAAAGGTGAGGAAAGTGCATGATTTGACGTTTGCAACGCCTTGACGCATGGGCGGGTGGTCACTGCAGCATGCCGTTGGAGAGCGGGGTGACGCCGTGTTGCAGCACCTCGTGCAGCGCTGCCACGGCCTCCTCTGTATCTCGCACCTCCGATGATGCACTGAACGACAGCCGCTGCACGTTGAACTGGTGGGGTGGGGGCAGTCGGGAGAGGGTTGGGGAGCAGGTGTGTGTTTGAGGAACAAAGGTGTGTTGAGGCGCATTGCAGCGCTGCCACGGCCTCCTTGTGTCCCGCACCTCCGATGATGCACAGGCGCTGCACGTTGAACTGATGGGGTGGGGGGGGAGGAGGTGAGGGGTGGGGAAGAGGGATGCGTTTGAGGAACAAAGGTGTCCTGGGGCACACGGGAGAACATCCACTGGTGCAGTGCTGCAGCAGTCTCCTCTGTGCTACACACAGCAGATGATGCACTGAACAGCACTTCTGAGTCGACTGGAAAAAACGATAATTGTTGACTCAAAGTACTGCAGAACCTTGCCTCCGTGCCATACCTCAGCTCCACAACCACCGCCCTTGCTGTACCTACCTTAGCGCTGTGTCACACACGGATATTAACACCCTTGACCTTTGAGCCGACTCAAAAGAGGTGACCTTTGAGTCGACTCAAAAGTCACACACGGATATCAACGCCCTTGCAACCGATGCTGATGAACAGTGCATCGTATACCTTGGCCCCACCCACACAGCGCACACAGAATGGAACCTACCTTGCCTCACCTACCTTGCCCCACCCTTGCCTCTGCTCCGCCATACCTTGGCGCCGTGTCGCACTCGAATGCCATCGATGCTGATGAACAGTGCATAGTCGACCAGCCGCCGTTGTTCTCACAGGAAGCACCAACAGCACACATCACGCATACAACTGAAAGCACCGCCCTACCTTGCCTCCTCCTTACCTTGGCGCCGTGTCGCACGCGAATATCAACGCCCTTGCCGTCGATGCTGATGAACAGTGCATCGTCCACCGGCTGCGGCAGGATCGACGCCAGCTGGCGCTTCAGATCCGATCCCAGCCGTACGTTCAGCTCCTGCTCATGGGGGAGGCACGTAACGGTGCAATTTGATGTCATCCGTGTGACGATTAGATTCCATCCATGCCATACATACACTCACATGCACTCGCTCCTCCCATGACACTCCCTCATCTCTCACGTGCTGACTTGACTTCTTCGTGTATCCCACCCCGCCCACAAGGTTCTCTCACAGCAGAATGGCGTCTGGTGTGGCCCATTTTTGAGACGTCTCAGTTTTGATTCTGAGACGTCTCAGTTTTGATTCTGAGACGTCTCAGTTTTGATTCCGAGACGTCTCAAAACTAGTTCCTGGTGTATCAGGGCTCTCTCACAGCACAATGGCGTCTGCCGTGGCCCACCCACCCACTCACATGCAGAATGGCCTCTGTGTCTCATCAGGTGTGACAAACCCTTGCACCCATCTACTCCCCACTCACATGCCGCATCCCCCCACAATTATCCACTCACATGCAGAATGGCCTCGGTGTCATGCAGCACAATGGCATCCGGTGTGGCAGCAAGATAGTCCTTCACGTCGATCCATGCCACCGTGCCAAACCCGCCCACAAAGTAGATGTCACTGGTGAGGGGAGAGGGTGAGGGTGGGAGGAAGGAGGGGGAAAAGCGGTAAGCCCTACCAAGGTACGCTATGCAAGAGTAGCTGAAGCTGCCACGGACACAACCAGTTCCTTCACGTCAATTCACGCCACCGTGCCAAACCCCCCACCCCCCACCCCCCATAAAGGAGATGTCGCTGGTGAGAAGAGGGATAAGGAGAGTACAAGTGAGTTCGGCAGAAGAAGGAAGAGAAAGGGACGGAAGGCGGGAGCAAAGGGGTGACGAGAGATTCGACAATTAGTAAAAACTACAACTGACCATCTTCGGAAGTTTCCTACATGTGCAACTCTGCCAGATCTGCTGCATGCGGGTGGATGGGGGTGCAATAGGGGGCTAGTAACCCTACCAGATCTGCTGCATGCGGTAGTAGCTGAAGTTGCCCCACATCTGCGCGGCACCGTGGTGGTGGCGGCGGGCAAAGAAGCGCTGCGCCCACTGCTGCTGGGAGGCCGGCACCGGATACACGTCTCCGAATATGGTGGCTCGCGCGTTGGCCAGCCCACTCCACCCTGGGATCTGATACAGGGGGGAAGGGGAGAGAAGGGTAGCAGGATAAATTGAGCCGGCAGGGCAGGTTGAGGGGGCTGTTCCCTTCCCAAAGAAGCGCTGCGCCCACTGCTGCTGGGCGGGCGGCACCGGATATACGTCTCCGAATATGGTGGCATGGGCGTTGGCCAGCCCACTCCACCCTGGGAACTTCGGACAACAGCAGAAATGAGTGGAGATAAACAGAAATATACATCTACGAAACTAAAGAGGGGAAGCGTGAGAAAGCGTGGTGACGTAGGCGAGTTGGTTACCTGGACAACAAGAGTGCAGCGAGGGTCTGCAAGCATGTTGCGCGTGTGGATGGAGAGAGGCGAGAGGAGGAAGATGGGATCTGCACACAGAAAATAAGAAAATACGGAATTTACAAATTTATATATGTAAAAACTACGGATATCCCAGTTTAGAGAAAGAAACGGATCATCTGATACTTCGAAAATTGACTATTACAAGAATAGAGATTCTAGATAACATAATGATGCTTCAATATCTGGGAAACGAAGACTTACGGCCCTCGTCGTCGGTGGCAAAGTCAACGAGCGAGCCTCCATAGGTACGCACGAAGAGGCTCCACCCAACAAACAACTTATGGCCCTTGAGTTTGAACCTCCCCACTTACGGCCCTCGTCGTCGGTGGCAAAGTCAACGAGCGAGCCAAAGGGATACCCCTTGCGTCGGTGGTGCATGCGCGACATGATGCTGCAGAGGTGGGCGAAGCGAGCCTGTGTGGTAGACAGGGGGGACAACAGGGGGGAAGAGGGAGGGAGGGGAGGGTGTATATTTCTTGTTATTTCAAACACCCACTCAACCAAACAGGTACCCCTTGCGGCGGTGGTGCATGCGCGACATGATGCTGCAGAGGTGAGCGAAGCACGCCTGTGTTGCACACACCAGGGGATACGAGGGGAAAGGATAAGGGGTTATGGTGCTTCAATGAATGGATGCATTGCGATAAGCACGTGAATCTTAGTACTCCTGCCCGCCCCCTGCCCCAAACAAACACGCGCGTCTGCCTCACCTGCTTCATGAGGTTGCACACGGCCACAGCAGCGAGGGCAACCCGAGAGACACATGACACCTGTCTCACATACCACCTGCCCCCCACACACACACACCACCGTCGCACCTGCTCCACAAGGTTGCGCACGGCAACAGCAGGCGAGGGCAGCCCGTGGGAGGCAGTGGCGCTCTGCACTCCCCCTGATACTGGCACTCGGTACAGCCCCGCCCCCCCGCTGGCCCCCCCACTGCTGCCACTGCTGCTGCTGTTGCTGTCACTGCTGCTAGTGGCGCTGCTGCTGGTGCTAATGGTGCTGGTGCTTTTTGGGAGTGCCCCTGAACCTGCAATTGCTGCTGCTCCTGCTGCTGCCGCTGCTGCTGCGAACTCTGCTGCTCGGTTCTCCGGGTTTGAAGGGCCTTGGTCCGATGAATAGAATTGGAACTGGCAGAAGGGTGGCGAGAAAGCGTCACAGAGGGTGTGTAGGTGTGTGTATTTGAGAGAGGGAGAGGGGGAGAGACTGCGGGCGAGAATGAGCGAGAGGAGGGACGTGTGAGGTAGAGTAGGCAACAGAGTAGAAGGTGGATGGGATGGGGTTGGATTGGTAGCAATAAGAAACGGGAAAAGGTGAGAGAGCAAGGACAGGAGAGAGCAAGAGAATGTATAGCTCACCCCGTTATCCAGCGATACTGATCCACCCTCCACCAGATCATCCTCCCCCTCCTCTCCTTCCCATTCCTCTCCTTCCCCCTCTTCTCCCTCCCACTCCTCTCCTTCCGCCCTTTCCCCACCATCCCACTCCTCTTCTAAACCCCACCCTTCCTCCGAATCGAATCCCTGCTGCCGCTCCCCCTTCCCCACGCCCGCCCACCCACTTCCAGCCCTGACCCGTCCTTTGCGCCCTCTCCTGTCTGCTCTATCCGCTACAGCCGCGCTACAGCCGCTGAGCGGGAAAAGCGCGCGCGCGGGGGAAGAATGAACGGATGCGCGGGCGGATCTGGATAGGTGTTGGCGCGCTGTGGGCGGAGGGACAGGGAGGAAGTTGGACACGTGGCAGCTTCTGCTCGTGGCGCCACAGGGCGGCGGTTGGAGGTTGATGGCTGGGGGAGGTAGGAACTGGGATGGGCGCAACTGGAAGGGAGCACTGCGCGGATGAGGGAGGGGGCGTGGGGAGAGGGGGGGAGAGGGGGGAGGGCCGGTGGGGTGAAGGGGGTGGGAAAGGGGAAAGGGGGAGAGGAAATGAAAGCTTACATTGCCGGAGGGGGGGAGGAGGGGGGAGGAAAGTGACTAAGGGAAGAGAGGGGGAAGGGGGGAAACCGTAGTACTGAAGATTTATGTAGCGAGGGGACAGGGTTTGAAAAATGCGAGGAGTGAGGTGTAACGAGGGGACAGGGTTTGTGGAGGGGATACGTGATGTAATACGCGGACGCGGAGGAGTTCTGCGGAGGACATGGCTTTCCATCCGTTTATTCTCATTCACTTGATAAATACCCCGCACGCGGCCTCTTTCTTGCGAGGTTCTTCTTTTATATAACCCAACACACAGCCCCTCTCTTGTGAGGAGGATCCTTCGCAAACTCACAACAGACAGGCGCAGTCGTGTAGGATCCGCCGCGAGCTGTTTCCTCTCGATCAAGTACACTTCGTTATCGGCCAGCTACGGATGGATCAACACGGAATGGACTTCAACAAACCCCCCCCCCCCCCCCCCCCCCCCTCCACCACTTCCTCCTCTCTCCTTCCTCCTCACTGCCCCCCTCCCGTCCCCTCCACTCCCCCCCCTTCTCCCCTCTCCCCTCTCTTCCCCTCTCCCCCTTAGCTGTCCGTCTTTCTGCGCAAAGACTCGAAGAGGTTTGCGACCCCGCTATAAGCTCACCTGTTAGCGGATCCCAGTCGGATCGGCGGATTCATTCTGGCGGTCTGGCTGGAGGGGCCTACCATACTGCTCGCCCCCACCACTGACTGCATTCCCGCGACTGGATCGCACCGCAACGCGCGACGAGGCAAAGGAGGTCGAATGAACTGGATCGAACAATCAGCCACGGCGACGCAAGAAAAAAGGAGAAGCAGAGCAACTGGATCGAGACGGCAAGGGGAATGCTTCTCGAGGCGCTTGGAGTTTGACCTTGGATCGACGCAAAGCTACGCGTTACTGTTGGCAGGTCGTAAGAATGCGGACGAAGTCGTAAGAGAGACGGAGGTAGAGCGAGATGAAAGAACTGACGACGAGGACAGCGGACGAATACGAACGAAAAGGATGCAGTCTGATAGTTGCGATCACGACCGTCGTCTGTCTGCTATAAAGTGGTCCTGTATACGCTGTGGTTGCTATTTTGAACATATCGAATGGAGGTGGCAGGGAGCTTTCTGTCTTTGCTCTGGAAATAGGGTGAAAGGGTAAGCAAAACCCGGCTAAGTGCGACTGGTGGTTTTGAAGAGAACGTTAGAACTAGCAAACTCGCAAAGCAATTACACCCAGAATGTCATGGAGTTGATTGGACAAATCTTCGATTTTGGGTGTGACTGTGACTCCCGAGCGAGCATGCGTTCCCTGGAGCTGGACATCCACGCGGAGGAAGGAGCGCTGTGATGAGCTTGCTGCTGAGTCACGCTTCAACACGTGGCATACGTCTGGCGTGGCGGCTGGTGGCGGAGGGTTCCTCGCTATGACTGCCTCCGCCATTTCCTATACGGTTATGCTTACAGAGCGCACCAAACCTGCCATTGCCACCCATTCACAGCATTTGCAAAACAGACTATCACACCACCATAACTTGGGAAAGGTAAAAATTAACCTCTCAGCAAGTCTCTATTCACAATACGTATTAGGCAGCAGTACAGACAGACTGCGAAACAGACAGAAGTGCAACCTAGGCAAAGCAATTCCATTCCAGACTAGGCTAGCAAACCAGGAACATCAAATGCAAGCGACAACAGCGTGGCTTCGGATGCCTTCAGCCTTTCAATGCTCTCCTCCAAACGAGCCCTGCGTTGCTGATCAGCACCCTTCAAGGCTGTTATCTTGCATATGTCCGTACCATGAATCTCCCGCCACATAGCGCCATCAGTGCCATCCAGGAGAGCATTCTCAAGGCACATGCGCAACTCCATGGGGATCACATCACACAGCCGCTTATGCATCACCTTAGCATACGAAAACATGTTGACCTGCAGATCCCTTGCAGCCTGGTCGTCATTGCTTATCAGGTTTGCAAGTGAAGCAGTGCTGGAGGCGAAGTCTTCAATAGTGGGAGCAGGCGGAGAAGCTTGAGTTGAGCCACCGGGCTGCGCTTTTTTATGCTCTGCCATTTTCTCATGAATTTTGGAAACCGTGTCCATGTAGTAATGGTTGAGCGTGAAGACAACCTCCTTCTCCTTTGCCAACAGGTCCTGAATGTAGCGGCTCGCTGACTCCTTTGCCTTCCGCATGGCATTCGTGCCTTGAAGGTGAGCCACGTTGTTCAGCCCAGGGTAAAGCCCACACACGTGTGACGCCACAGCCTGCTGCACCTGCATTGCATAAGAGAAGCAGTCATTAACCAGCTGCAGGCACGGCCCTTCAATGCTCTCCACCACCTCCTGAACAAGCTGCTTCACCACAACCAGGTCAAACATGTTCGGGAGAGACATTCCGGCCACCTCTTTCAGGGCTTCCTTGCACCTATCAGAGTACTCTGTTGCAAGGAAATCCGGAAGTCTTAGACTTAGAGGCATGAAGTTGTGTGTGATTAGGTCAAGGGGGGGGGTACAAGAAGAATGTCGAGAGAAATATTGTACCCCCTAGTGCTAACCCCCATACAGCCTAGATAACCTAAACATATATCTAACATATATAAATATAACTTGACACACCCCCATAGGCGAAATGGGGGATAGCCAGAGCAAGCAAAGGTCACAAGACCAGTCAAGAGAAGAAACAAAACACAGCTCAGGGTGGATCACAAAGTCACCACACACACTGAGCACAAGCAAGAGGCCACAAGGCCAGTTTCTGGACTTTCCGATCCCCGGCTAACGCCACAGTCGCCTCAGAAATCTCCTGCTCAATCTTTCCTTCGTCAGGCAAGACTTTAGACACCTTACCGGTAATGGGGGTGTATTCGATCGTTATCATTTCCTGCCCTTTCACACATGACTGGAGCCTCAGGATCAGTGGCACTCGAGTGACAATTCCCTTGCCTCTCGGCAGGCTGATTCCGGACAAGTTCTCCAGGACGGAGGACTTGCCGCTGGATTGGTCACCGACCACAACGATCGTCAGGAGCTCAATCCCCTCTTCCTTGAGACCTAGAAGCCTGAGCCTGTCAATTGCATCGAGCATCGGACGGACATTCTCATTGAAGGAGGAGATGAGAGGAGCCATGTTGAAGCGAGGAGAGTTGAGCTGAGGAGGGTTGAGCTGAGGAGAATCGGAAATAGGAGTCAAATAAGAGGCTAGAGAACGTAACATGCTTCGCAATGAGAATGCTTCCCTGAGTGAGCTTTTCATATTGACCAGACACTGGCCCAGCGTAGCTGCCAAGGACGGTCAAAGAGCCTACCCTTGTCATGTCGCGCACTGGCAGCAGTACTTTCTCGATGCAGACGGAGACACGATGTAGGTGAACCCGCACGAGGCTATTGCAGACCGCGAATCTTAGAAATGATCGAAGCACTAAATAGACGTGCCTGAATCGGAGGGGACGGACACTAGCAGGGCTCGGCGCAGTCGGAACCTCAATGAAAGGTGAGTTTCCCGAGGTTGCGCGCAATGGCCGAGAAGCAATCCATCATTCTAAAAGAAATCAGAGCAGCACAAATATCAATCGAGCCCTGCTGTTTTGTAAAACAAGGGAACATCTGAACTTTGACGACGTTTCCAATATGTCAAGAGTACTCCCCTGCGGGATTAGGGTTCAGATATCCTAAACGGCCCGGAAACGCCAATGTCTGAACCTGTCCTGATATGTTCGGAGAACTCAGAACCTATGGGGTACGGAAACGCACGGCATGGAGTTCGCTAGCAATACAGTCTACGAGGTATGAACCTTTGATACATTCGGAGAGATCAACACAGAGAAATGGATCGGCGTAGGACAACGCGAGGGGGGAAGAGCATTCTCGAAATTCTCGAGGTGGAATTCTCGAGGTTTTTTTTTTTTTTTTTTTTTTTTTTTTTTTTTTGCATATATGAATTATACACCAGAACAGAAGTGTACAAGACATAAACAGTCGTAACTGTGCAGGAGAGACAAGGGGGGACCCCCCATCTCAGAATATTCGATCCTCAGACATGGATCCGGGGCCTGCGTGGTACGCCCCAAAGTGCCGCAAAACTGTTGGACCACTTCCAACCCTTGCCATCCACCACTCTGATGCGACTCAGAAGGCTGCACTCCTGCTCCGTCATCTTCTGCCACCTGGCGTGCTGCCCCTTTCCCCGCTGTTGCATCTTCGCTGCTGAGGCCCGCACGTAGACGTTCACATGCATGCGAAAAGCTGACTCAATCTTCCGCAGAACCCTCCGCGCGCGGAACTTGCAGCCCCTGAAAGCCCCCTCGCATCTCTCCGCCCACAGCTGATGAAGACCGATCGCCACCAACGATGCTTCCGGAAATGCTGACACGGATCCAGCCTTGCCAAACAGCCAATCACCAAGCGTGTCACCCTTCCTGGCTGGGTTGATCAGTCTTAAGGCCTTTTTAATCGCCAAAACCACCCTCTGAGTTTTCGGGCATTCCAAAAGGCAATGTTCCAGTGTCTCGAACTCGCCACAATGAGGACAGACTGGTTTGCTGCTGAGGAACTCCAGTCTCTCCCCAACCTGCAGGTTGAGGCAGTGAATCCGCAACATCACATCTCTCGGACGACTAGGGGTAACAAGTGATTCGCGAATTTGTACCACCAGTTTCCAATCAATGCTGCCACCCCATCGGCTTGACCACTTCTCCCGCCTGTTCTCCCCGCTGTTGCCATGCCTCCAGTGATTCCTGAGCGACCGCAACGGCACAGCCTCCCCTTTTTCCAACAGTTTCGCCCGGAGCTGCGCAGGGCCACCCCTTCCCACCGCATACACATCCGCAAACCCCACGTTCGGAAGCTCGGCAGAGAGAAGCTGCTTCCTCCATGCTTCTGGAGCTGCTGCGAAGGCTTTGAGCGCGAGGTTTGCTGAGTCCTTCCCCCGTAGCTCTCTCTCCAGGGTTTCGATTTTTTTCAACACTCCTTTCCCCTCTGCATCTCTCCCAATCAGGTCACCTAACCTGACATCCAGAAGCCGCTTAGCCGCTTTCTGCCCCCCCACCGGCGTAGTGCCCTTGAGGAGAATGTGTTTATTGAACGTAATCCGCTCAAGCAACAGCTCCTTCAGCTCGCGATTCTCCGTAGATTCCGCCAGCGGAGAGCGCATAAAATTCGCGCAGGCCAACTTCCATCGCTGACTCTTCCCCTCCCACGACTTCAAAATTTTTTCATGTGCCGTGAACGTCTCCAGTCCACGGGGCAGGTCTGCTGCCTGGCGCATCAGTTCACGCTTGAATTGATCCGTCTCCGTAAGCAGAAGTCCGATCCTTCTGGCGGTGAGGCAGGTAAGCATCATTTCCGGATTCTTCGCCCCTACTCCTCCTTCCAACACCGGTGTGAACAACAGCTCCTTGCTCCAGAGGCGAAAACACTTTTCTGCTGTGACTTTGTTGGCTGACATGAAATTCTGCGTCAGCTTAGTGATTACTCCCCAGGTCTGTGCCGGCGGCGGATAAACTTGCGCCTGAGACCACGCGATCGGCAAGATGTAGCCATCCATCACTGCTGTTCGCGCTTTGATCGGAAGGTATTGCGGCTGCCACAGCGACATCTTCCCGGCTATCTTCTGCAGCGCCTTATCCCACGTCGGCTGGCAGCTTCCGCTCGGTGTAATCCAAACCCCAAGGAGTCTCTCCGCTTCATCAGCGCCAGCCCAGCGAAAAACGTCAGACCGCCAAGTCTTCTTTCCCAGATTAACGCCCAATGGCATCACCACCGACTTTTCCTTGTTCGTCTCCAGACCGGAAATGCATTTGAACTCCTCTAATACCTCCTCTGCTCTTCCGATTTGCTGTTTTCCTTGCAGCAGGAGGGTTGTATCATCCGCATAACCGATGTACCCCATCCTCTGCCCGACACAACTGGTGAGGGAGATGCCGATTTTCCACTTCATCACCTTCTGCGCCAAAGGTTCCACCGCACAGAGGAAGAGGTAAGGTGCCAAGGGGCAACCCTGCCTTACGCCTGAGACCACTTCCACCGCGCTCCCCATCCAACCGTTAATTAACAAATTCGTTCGTGTGTTGGTATGCAGGCCCTTCACCCAGCCAACATAACTGGCCGGGAAGCCCATCCTTTCCAACACCTCGAAAATGAAGTTCCGCGACACCGAATCAAACGCTTTATTGAATTCGACAAGCAGCATGAACCAGTCCTCCTTCCCGTTCTTGGCCGCGTTTATAATGTCGGCAACCAGCCCCACCGCATCCGACATTCTCCGACCCGGTATAAAACCGAACTGCTCCTGAGAGATCACCTTATGAAGGACCTTTTTAATCCTGCACGCCATGACCCTCGCCAGAATTTTGTAGCTGATGTTTAGTAGCGTAATAGGACGGTAGTTCTCTAACTGCTCTTTTGCTCCCTTCTTGTGCAGGAGGATCGTCACCGCGTCCTTGACACTGGTCGGGAGCGAAGAGGTGAGAGTAAAGTCCCGCACCAGACCCATGACATGCTTCCCAAGCGAATCCCAGTGCAGTTCAAAAACCTCCTTCGGCAACCCGTCTTTCCCAGGGGTTTTGTTGCATGACATATCCTTCACCGCCTGCTTAACTTCTTCCTCCGTCCACTCCGCCTGCAGGTTCTCCCGGTCAGTGCACGACAGCTGCCTTCCCACAGTCGGCCTCCAATCTGAGAGAGCTGTGCGCTCGTGTTCCCCAAATAGACTGCGGAAATAATCCGACGCTGCCTCCAGTATCTGCTTCGGCTCCGACACCATCCCTCCTGGCACTGCAACCTCCGCTATTTGAGTTCTGGTTTTCCGCGTCTTAATCCTCGCCGATAGATGTGGAGACGGAACCTCCCCCGACAGCGCCAGCTCCATCCCAGCCATGGTGTGCATTCTGTCCCTCCGGCACGCAAGATACTTTTTGAGCTGCTGCTCCCGCTTCTTCAGCCGCTCCTTCAACACTTGATCCTTCGGGTTTTGCATAAACTCCTGCCTCAACACAGCCACCGTTGTAGTGAGATGAGTAATAGTTGCACGTATCCGTTTACTCTCTTCTTTTGCGTATGATCGCAGGCTGGAGCTCAGACGCGAAATGAGAGCCACGAAACTCCCTCCATTCCGTGTAACAAAGTCCTCCGCTTCCTCAATTTTTTTCTTAGCCCCTGGTCTGCTCAGCAGAGATGGATGGAAACGCCAGATCCCTGGTCCCAGCTGCAGCTGCTGCTTAAGTTTGAAGACCACGCGAATGGCAAAGCCGTGATCGGAGACCGGCTCATCAGGCGAAACATGCGTGGCCGATATAAGACGCGGAAGCAGGGATTGAGAGACCAACGCTCGATCAATCCGCGAACTCTCCTGGTGCGCCTGTGAGAAGAAGGTAAACTCTTTTTCACCCGGGTGCAGGGAGCAGAAAGCATCAGAAATGCCAAAAGCCTTGCAATGGTGATAAAGGAAGTCATTTTCCCTTGTTGAGCCCTGCTTGGATGTCTTATCTAGAAGTGGATTCTCTATGGTATTAAGGTCTCCCAGGATGATCAAGTGAGTGGCTGGTGGAATAAGGTTAAGAAGTGGACCTAGTACAATCCTGATAAATGCTCGTTTTTCGGCTTTGTCTGCAGGGAGGTAAGTCGCTATCAGGGTGAGTTTCAGGTTAGAGCATTGGATGTCATGTTAGAAACTAAGAACGAACGAGAATGATGAAACTAGGCAGCAGGGTGATACAAGTAGGCAACCCTAACAATGTTGTACCCCCTAAGGCTAAACCCACTATAGCCTACACAATATAAACATATATAATGTTTGACACACCCCCATAGGCTAAGTGGGAGACAACCAGATGGTCACAAGACCAGTCAAAGCAAAGCAAAGCAAGCTCAGGGTGGATCTCAAGGAAACCACACAAATTCCGAGCACAAGCAAGTGGTCACAAGACCAGTTCACATGCCGTTTGATAATATAACAAGAGGTACAGTGATCACAACCTAGCAAGTGGAAGCATGCAGGTATATATATATATATATATAGAGATCACAGTACAAACAAAGTCAAGAAGTAAGCAAGTGAGGCACAGTAGGCACAAGGCCTAGAACAGTACAGAAACGCTGATGATCACAAGGCTAAAGCGCCTTGGTGAACACATCAGCAGTGTTGGCCCGAGTGGCCACGTAGGCAAGACGAAGCTGACCTCGCTGCTGCAGCTCTCGAGCAAGGAAGTAGCGTAGATCGATATGCTTCGTTCTGTGCTCCAGTCTGTGCTCCTGACACAAGGCAATGGTAGCCTTGTTGTCGACGTACAGCACTGGAGGAGAGCGAGGCCGCTCTCCCAGGTCAGTCAGCAGGTAGGTGAGCCAGCGTAACTCCTGTGCAGCCATGGCTGTGGCGTAGATCTCAGCCTCACAACTGGAGCTGAGAACTGAAGACGAGCGAGTAGAACGCCAAGAAACTGAACCAGAGCCAAGGCTGAAGGTGTAACCCTGAGACGACCGCTGAGTAGCCTGGTCGTCAGCCCAAGAAGCGTCTGAGTGCCCAGTGAGGACAACTCGAGCCCGTCCTCCAAGCACGAGCCCCATGCCCGACGTACTGCACAAGTAGCGCAACACCCTCTTAGCGGCATCCATGTGCTCCTTCCGGTGACGGCCAGGAGCGACATAGCGTGCTAGTATGCTAAGAGGGTATGCAAGGTCAGGTCGAGTGCAGGTCATCAAGTACATGAGGCAGCCCACAAGCTCTGGATACGGGCCACTCGGCTCTACGGACTCATCCGAAGGCAGAGCTGAGAGCGAGTGACCGGTAGGCAGAGGAGTGGACTGAGGCGAGGAGTACGTGAAGCGGAAGCGCTGAAGGACCTGCTGCACCATGTGTGACTGAGTCAAGGTGATGGTGCGCTGTGCTCTGTCCGCAAGCCAAGATAGCTTGTCAGTTCACCCAGGTCTGTGCACGTGTGTCTCTTCTGCAGCTCCGACTTCACGTGGGCGAGTGCCTCAGTGTCAGCAGTAGCAAAGACCAAGTCGTCTACGTAAACGAGAACGTAGAACGGCGGCAGAGTGGTGTCGGTGCGTAGAAACAGCGACGGGTCAGCAGTAGAAGGAGCAAACCCAAGAGCAGCAAGAGTAGTCCTCAGTGTGTCGTGCCACTCACGGGGTGCCTGGCGGAGACCGTAGACTGGCCGCCGGAGGCTCCACTGGGTACCAGGAGGGAACGACCCAGTGAAGCCAGGTGGGCGGCGCAGCCAGATCTCCTCGTGCAGGCAGCCCTGTAGGAAAGCAGTGCTGAAGTCAAGAGAGTGGAGCTCGTAGTCACGCTGAGCGGCGACGTGCAGCAGAACCCGAAGAGTGGTCATCTTCGTAGTCGGGGAGAAGGTCTGGAAGAAGTCAACTCCCTCTCGCTGACTGAAGCCTCGTGCGACGTAACGCGCCTTGAAGACAGGCGGAGAACCCGGCGGCCGCTTCACCCTGAAAATCCACATGCCACTGACGATGTTCGCCCCAGGTGGGGGAACCTCGTCGACGTAGGTGCCTGTGGACTTCCAGGAGGCCATCTCTGCGTCCATGGCTGTCTGCCACTGAGAGGAGTAGGGACCCTCCATCGCCTTTGCGTAAGAGCGTGGGGTCGGGATGTCTGGTGCATCCGGGTCTCCCTCAGGGGCAATCAGCATGGACACGAGATGAGGCAAAGCAGCGGCAAAGCACTCAAACTCCTCCTGCCTGTCCTCAAGGACGTCCGTGCCAAGAGCACACTCACCCCCGACGGACGGAGGACAGACAGACTCAGACTCAGCAACAAGGCTAGCCGCGTAGTCTAGACGACAGGCGGCAGCAAAGTCAACTAACTCAGCGACTAGAGCAGACGCAGCAGAGGACTCAAAGGTAGGGTTGCCAGTGGCGAGGAGACGCGTGACAGTAGGACTGGCAGCACGAAGGGAGTCAGACTCCGGGTCAGCAAGAGCAGGAAGAGAGGACGCTGGAGGAGACGGCAGAGGGACACGCTGTGGAGCAGTGGAAGGACGCAGAGTCATGTAGTGAGTGCCAGGGACAGGAGGAGGACGCTCGCGCGGAACACGACGACGAGCACGGACAGGCGACTCTGAACGAGACTCAGGCGACGCAGGACGAGACTCAGGCGACGCAGGACGAGACTCAGGCGCACGACGCTCCGTAAGACCTCTAGTCGGCCCAGCGTAAGGAGAAGGACCAGGTAGTGGAGAGGCAGGCTGTAACTGTGACTGTGACTGGACCGGTGGTGGACTCAGTAGGGGAGGAGTAGGACTAGTAGAGGGCGGGAGGTCAAGAACCTGGTGAAGGAGCGGAACGTAGTACGGCCGCGGCCGTGCAGGACCTCCGGAACCAGCAGAGACAACACCAGCACCCTCAGCCCCAGGGTCGCCAGCTACAACTCCCGCAGTACCACCAGCAGCTCCAGCAGCTCCAGTAACTCCAGCTCCAACTCCCGCAGTAGCTCCAGTCCCAGCAGCTCCAGTACCTACAGAACATGCTGCCAATCAGTGACTGTTTGTTATGATTTCGCAGTTTGAGACTTGCCACCCCGATGCGTTGGGTGTAGGTGTGTTTACGTGGACTTGCGTGATTGGAGTTTGTCTAGCTGAACTTTGGCGAACCTACCAGTTGTAGTGAAGGGTGGTGTTTTAACCACTGCACAGACCACCCCCCTTAGCCCAACCCTCTGGTAATGCATGTATGGTGTAGAGGAGACATTTTTCCCCTAAGGATGTTACCAGCTGGGAAGTATATTATGCTGCCGGCGAGAATCGAACCCGGACCCCTCGATCGCAAACTGACTGCACGTCATGGGCCATATTCGGGTCAGATTTGGGTGAGGTTACTTTTGGGTCATAAAACTCGCTGACCCAAATGTGACCATGTTTTCCCATGTGACCCCAAAGTGTCCTATGGGACAGACGTGGGCAAGGTTCGGGTCAGGCTAGGGTCAAAGTGAGCTTTGGGTGAGTTGTGGGTCAGTGACATTTTGGTGATGCATGGCTTCATCTCTCACCCCTTTTTTACTTCTTCTTTAATGACCTTGCTTTCCCACTTCTCTCCCCTTTTTCCCTTTCCCCTCCCTCCCCCATCCACCCTTCTCTTCTACCCCTATCCTTCCTTTCCTGCAGCCTCCACGCTCCTTTCCTCTGTGGACTCACTTGGCCGAACCATCGTCTCCACCTTCTCGTCTTCATCTGGTAAGTCAGCCACGTGAACCGAGTCAACCAAGTCAATCGAGTCAGCTCTTTTTTTTTCATTTTCATTTTTTTCACTCTCACTGTCACTTGTATCTGTCTCCTTATTTGGCCAAGGCAAGTGCACGTGACCACGCTGCTGCCCTCCTCCCCTCCCCCCACGTGCCAGCAGCAGCAACTATTGAATCCATCTCCCGCTCTCCCACTCTCCTACGGCTCTGCGACCTCTCCCCATCTCATCTCTCCCATCTCCCCGCACATGGCACTGACTCCTGACTCCATCTGCCATCTCTCTCTCCCCTCCCCCTGCGTCACCTCTTAAGTTCCCAACTGGGACCATGCCGCTCGTATGTGGACGGAAGCGCAAAACGACCAAACTCATATCCGTGCCTCTGCCATCTTCCTTCCCCCTCTCCCTCCCCCACCACCTCTCCCATCTCCCCACACATTACAGTGACTCCTGATTCTGTCTGCCACCTCGCCCCCTCCCCCTGCGGCATCACTGAGTCGGGCCCGTGCTGCACTGCTGTCTCCGTCACAGAGCCCTCCACCATCAGGGTATGCTCTCAACACTGCAGACTGTATGCAGTGTTTGCTCACCCATGCAGCATCTCTGAGCCGGGCCCCTGCTGCATGGCTGTCTCCGTCACAGGGCCCTCCACCCTGCGGGTACGCCACACGTACCAAGTAAGTACTCGGCGGCGCTGCGTGTCGGGGTGTATGGTTTGAATGCACCGCGCAAGTTTCTGTTCGCCCCTGCGGCATCTCTCTTTTGAATCTACCGTGCTGCACTGCCTGCCATCTCTATCACAGGAGCTTCCTCTGCCTTCCTTCCTTCCCCCGCCCCTCCTCTCCCCCCACCAGGTGGCCACTTCCCGATTCTTCCCCCACTCACTAGACCCTGTTCCCCGCTTCTTCCCCTGCTCTGTGAACCTCCACGACCCTGCCTCCCCCTCGCCCACTTCCCAGCGTTCCTGTGCCTCCCTACACGTCCTCTTCCTCCCCCTCCCCCCCCTTCCCTCGCCTCCCTCCCCCACCAGGTGGCCACTTCCCGCTTCTTCCCCCGATCAGTGGACCTGCACGACCCCGCCTCCTCCTCCCGTACTCACCGAACCTCCCTCCCCCCCATCCCCCGTCCCCCCGTCCCCCCGTCCGCCCTCAACAGGTAGCTACATCCCGTTTCTTCCCCCGCTCAGTGGACCTACACGACCCCGCCTCCCCCTCTCCCGCTTCCCCCCTGCGCACATTCCGCCTGCCCTTCCCCCCCGCTGCTGTGGGCTTCCTGGGGGGGACCGAGAGGGACAGAGGGGGAGGGAAGCGGAGGGGAGGGGAGATGGAGGGGGAGGAGGAGGGGAATGCAGTTGAAGGGGTTCGGCTGCTGGCAGTGTGCGAAGGACCCCAGGTGTGTGTGTGTGGGTGGGGGTCGCTTTTGTGCGGTGGGGTGTGGTGGGATTACTCAGTTGTGTGTTTGTGGGGACTCACATGTGTGGGTGAGAGGGGGGGTAGGGGGTCATGTGCCTGGCTCACCACAGCTAACACACTGCATGCATGGATTAGCAACCCATGCCACATCGTTGAACGCTGAATTAGCAACCCATGCCACATCGTTGAACGCTGAATTAGCAACCCATGCCACATCGTTGAACGCTGAATTAGCAACCCATGCCAACAGCCCCTGCCTGACAAGTTCCTATCACCAACGTCTGACGTCACCATGCCATGTCACCATGCCATGTCACCATGCCTTGTCACCATGCCTTGTCACCATGCCATGTCACCATGCCTTGTCACCATGCCATGTCACCATGCCTTGTCACCATGCCATGTCATCATGCCAGCTCAGCATCTGGGACGAGCGGGCTGCCGAAAACGGTGGCTGCATCCAGCGAATCACAGTCTCTCCTGCTGCCGAGCCTCTCTACGCCCTAGCCTCGACAGTAGGCTCGGGAACAGGCTCGGTAACAGGCCTGGTAGCTGTAGGAGGGGCCGAGCGCACTGTAGCTGTGTACGACGTGCGGAAATGGGCGGCAAGAGGCCGCTGGGTCAGCTGCGTTCGGCAGGACGTGATGGGCATCCCTGTGGCTGGTGGTGAGAGAGAGGATGCGAGACAGGAGGGACAGGATGGTCTTTCGTTTGGGTCTGATGAATCCGTGTTTGTGTGGAGCGGTGATAATGAGGTGGTGTGTGGGAGGTGGACTGAGGGCGAGGGGAGGGTGGGAGGGGTGCGAAGAGCAGAGAAGGGGAGGGGTAAAGGGGGGAGTGGAAGGGGGGGGGAAGGGGGGGGAATGGGGAGGGATTGAGGCCGGGGGGAGGGGAAGAGCGCAGCCAAGCAGAGAGAAGGTGAATCAGCAGAACAGAGAGCAACAAAACAGGGTGCAGCAGAACAAGGAGCAACATAATGGTAAAGGGGACGTCTGTAAAGAGGCTGTGGAGTTTGCACATAGGGAGGAGAGTTTGGGGTTGGACAGAAGAGGAGCACTGGCAGACAGAGAAGGAGGGGAATGTGGAGGGGCCGAGCAAGCAGGAGGAGAAGCAGTAGCAGAAGTAGGAGGAGAGGAGAGCAAGGGGGCATCACGAGTGCACCAGTCGTTTAGAGGAGACAGCGCCTGGTGCGGCATTGCAAGGGTGAGTGCGGGAGGGTTGCACAAGAGAACATGTGGATGAATTCTGAGAATTGTACCAAACCCCATTTCCCTCCCTTTTTCCCTACTCTCCTGCATTTGAATACTCTCCTTCCCTCTCCATTCCTGCTCTTCAACTCCACCTCCTCACCCACTTCCCTCCTCCCCTCCTCCCCTCCCCTACTCTCCTCTTCCCGTCTCCCTGTACATGCCTTTGCAGGATTTCAACGCCAATGTGCTTGCAGGCTGGTGCATGTCTGGCAGCTTCATACTCGCCGATTGCACTCTCTAGTGCATCCATGCATGGGAGGGAGCTAATTTTTTAGGCGGTAAGACAAGAATCACATGCCAGATTGCATGTGAAAGTGCCCTTGCAGTACATTCTGTATGGCTGAAGTGTTCTAGTACCTCCAATGGAATATGGGTGTTGTTCAGAGCTATCTTCCAGAGCACCCAGTCACTGAACAGGCCAGCATCAGGGTCTCCAGTCAGCCATAACCACTGCCAAGCCAATGTGCGGACAGACATGCCTCGCGCTAGCCCTGTAGCCACAGTACCGTAGTAGCTTGCTCATTCAACTCCTCGATGAATTACTGAGACAACAAAGTCGTGTCAGTTCGCAACCAAACTTTTGGTTTACTCAATTGTGTGGAGAAGGCATGATGCTATGCTAGTACCATACTTCATAACTTCATTACAATGAAGGTGGTGGGGCACTAGTGTGTCAATGTCTGCTGCAGTGATACGCAGTTTGATGGATGCCACGTTTGGAAATCATTGGACTGTTGTCAACACCCTACCAACCAACCAGGCTGTTAAGGAGGAAATAAGGCATCTCAAACACTGCATAATAACACTTTACTAAATCTGATATTATATGGCTTTCTCCTTCTCGAAAATCTTTTCAATCACAGAATCCATCAGCTTAGGGTGTGCTGCTGGGTCAGGTAGACCCCAATCCTCCACAGTGGTGCTTGCGGGGAGGTCCACCTTGGGTAGGTTGGGCTGCAGACAGGAGCGACCAACCACGCAATGTGCAATGCACAATTGTTTGTCATTAAAGAAGCAGCAAGGAATGAGCTAGGCACGTGAGATCCAAGGCATGACGTCAGAGAGGAGAGGAACTGGCATGGCGTGGCTAATGCGCAGTCGCTAGGCGCCACACAACACCATGCACGGCTGAACAAGGTGACAAAACATGGGAACAAGAATCATAATCAGCCACCACAACAGAACAGCAACGCGGACAAACACTTCAATACTAATAAACTCTGATAAGCGATACACCATCATCACAATCATGACTCACCAGACAGCCCATCATCACAATTATGACTCACCAGACAGCCCATCATCACAATCATGACTCACCAGACAGCCCATCATCACAATCATGACTTACCAGACAGCCCATCATCACAATCATGACTCACCAGACAGCCCATCATCACAATCATGACTCACCAGACAGCTCATCATCACAATCATGACTCACCAGACAGCCCATCATCACAATCATGACTCACCAAACAGCCCATCATCACAATCATGACTCACCAGACAGCCCATCATCACAATCATGACTCACCAGACAGCTCATCATCACAATCATGACTCACCAGACAGCCCATCATCACAATCATGACTCACCAGACAGCCCATCATCACAATCATGACTCACCAGACAGCCCATCATCACAATCATGACTCACCAGACAGCCCATCATCACAATCATGACTCACCAGACAGCCCATCATCATAATCATGACTCACCAGACAGCCCATCATCACAATCATGACTCACCAGACAGCCCATCATCACAATCATGACTCACCAGACAGCCCATCATCACAATCATGACTCACCAGACAGCCCATCATCACAATCATGACTCACCAGACAGCCCATCATCACAATCATGACTCACCAGACAGCTCATCATCACAATCATGACTCACCAGACAGCCCATCATCACAATCATGACTCACCAGACAGCCCATCATCACAATCATGACTCACCAGGCAGCCCATCATCACAATCATGACTCACCAGACAGCCCATCATCACAATCATGACTCACCAGACAGCCCATCATCACAATCATGACTTACCAGACAGCCCATCATCACAATCATGACTCACCAGACAGCCCATCATCACAATCATGACTCACCAGACAGCTCATCATCACAATCATGACTCACCAGACAGCCCATCATCACAATCATGACTCACCAAACAGCCCATCATCACAATCATGACTCACCAGACAGCCCATCATCACAATCATGACTCACCAGACAGCTCATCATCACAATCATGACTCACCAGACAGCCCATCATCACAATCATGACTCACCAGACAGCCCATCATCACAATCATGACTCACCAGACAGCCCATCATCACAATCATGACTCACCAGACAGCCCATCATCACAATCATGACTCACCAGACAGCCCATCATCATAATCATGACTCACCAGACAGCCCATCATCACAATCATGACTCACCAGACAGCCCATCATCACAATCATGACTCACCAGACAGCCCATCATCACAATCATGACTCACCAGACAGCCCATCATCACAATCATGACTCACCAGACAGCCCATCATCACAATCATGACTCACCAGACAGCTCATCATCACAATCATGACTCACCAGACAGCCCATCATCACAATCATGACTCACCAGACAGCCCATCATCACAATCATGACTCACCAGGCAGCCCATCATCACAATCATGACTCACCAGACAGCCCATCATCACAATCATGACTCACCAGACAGCCCATCATCACAATCATGACTCACCAGACAGCCCATCATCACAATCATGACTCACCAGACAGCCCATCATCACAATCATGACTCACCAGACAGCCCATCATCACAATCATGACTCACCAGACAGCCCATCATCACAATCATGACTCACCAGACAGCCCATCATCACAATCATGACTCACCAGACAGCCCATCATCACAATCATGACTCACCAGACAGCCCATCATCACAATCATGACTCACCAGACAGCCCATCATCACAATCATGACTCACCAGACAGCCCATCATCACAATCATGACTCACCAGACAGCCCATCATCACAATCATGACTCACCAGACAGCCCATCATCACAATCATGACTCACCAGACATCCCATCATCACAATCATGACTCACCAGACAGCCCATAATCACAATCATGACTCACCAGACAGCCCATCATCACAATCATGACTCACCAGACAGCCCATCATCACAATCATGACTCACCAGACAGCCCATCATCACAATGAGGTCCCAGTTGTTCTCCAGACCCCCAATCGCCTCATCCGCAATGCCCTGGGAAAGAATCAAGCAAAGACAAGCTCGACAGCGAAGACGAGAGAGACGACAGGGAAGACGCTGTAAGTACAAGTGATAAGGGGGAATGCGTAGCGAGAAGATGTAAACGTTTCTGCACGTGCCCATTGTGAGCACCAATGCATTCTCGTCTCAGTGAATGCATTCTGTGGAGATCCTACGACTTCCTTCACCTTGGAAAGTGCATGGTCTGTGGGATAGCCTCGTGTCTTGAGTGCCTCGATCATGACCGGGTTCAGCTTGCCTGCTGCATCCACACCTGCCACGAGAAAGACACAGCAACCGAAAAAAGCAAAACGTCAACTTACAAATTGCATACACAATTTCTACCTATCACAGCGACAGGAGTACAGCTCACGTTTATCACCCAATCGCCCTTGATCCCCAGAGAATTCTCAGTAAACATGTCCATCGTGTACCTACCACAGCAACAAGGATACACCCCCACATGTTGTTGTGTAGCGCAATCGCATCCGGTGTGGCAGCTAGGTAGTGTGTCATGTCACACACCCACCCACCCACGCCCACCCACGCCCCCACTCACATGCAAAATGGCCTCTGAATCATGCAACACGATGGAATCCGGTGTGGCAGCCAGGTTGTGTGTGACGGACCCACCCACCCCCCCAGCACCCAACAGCCTCCCTCCACCCACCCATCCATCCACCACTCACATGCAGAATGGCCTCAGAGTCGTGTAGCACGATGGCATCCGGTGTGGCAGCCAGGTAATCCTTCACATCGATCCACGCAACTGCTCCAAAGCCACCCACGTAATCGATGTCGCTGATGGGGGGGATTCGAGTGAGGAGGGCAGGTGGGGTGAGAGGGGGAGTGGAGGGTGCAATAAATGTAGATTCAACCAAATATTAGATCATGCAATAAAGCAGCTGAAGCTGTCACAAAGGTGAGTGATCACCATACCCTGAACTATAGGGTTAGTAACCCTAGCAAGTATGTAACATGGGCAGTGCGATCGAACTATATGCTGCATGTAGAGGTAACGCACTTTCCCCACTTATGTGTGGGTGGCTCGCGATTATGCACTGGGAAATATATATATATATATATATACCCACGAGGGGCTAGTAACCCTACCAGATCTGCTGCATGCGGTAGTAGCTGAAGTTGCCCCACATCTGCTTGACTAAAACCCTAACTTACCCAAGAGGGGCTAGTAACCATACCAGATCTGCTGCATGCGGTAGTAGCTGAAGTTGCCCCACACCTGCATGTCTAAAACCCTATCTTACCCGTAGGGGGCTGGTAACCCTACCAGATCTGCTGCATGCGGGAGTAGCTGAAGTTGCCCCACATCTGCTTGACTAAAACCCTAACTTACCCAAGAGGGGCTAGTAACCCTACCAGATCTGCTGCATGCGGTAGTAGCTGAAGTTGCCCCACATCTGAGCGGCGCCGTGGTGGTGACGGTGGGCAAAGAAGCGTTGCGCCCACTGCTGTTGGGAGGGTGGCACTGGATACACGTCTCCAAACATGGTGGCACGGGCATTGGCCAGCCCACTCCACCCTGGGACCTGGGAGAGGGAGGGGGAGTGGAGGGCAGGAGTGTAGGAAGGGGGGATGCACCCAAGAGTAGAATGAGCGTCGAGCAAGCTGAGCAAGTGGAAGCTGTCCAGTAGCCTGAGACCACTGCTGCTGGGAGGGCAGCACAGGAGAAAAACTTGGTGGTACGTGCATTGGCCAGCCCGCTCCACCCTGAGATTTGTGGTTCAATCAGCAGCAAAACTGAGTGGTCTCAAATGTCAAAAGTTTTGAGACGTCTCAAAAGGGGGTCAATCAGCAGCAAAACTGAGTGAAAGGGACAAAAGCACAGGAAAAAAATGGGTTTGCGAAAGCAAAGAGATGGAGAGTGGAAAAGAAAGAACGAGAACGGCGAGCGATGGCATGCACGAGTTGGTTACCTGGACAACAAGAGTGCAGCGAGGGTCTGCAAGCATGTTGCGCGTGTGGATGGAGAGAGGCGAGAGGAGGAATATGGGATCTGCATACAGAGAAGCAGAAGCAGACAATACACATATATGATATTATATATATATATATAGATATGGTGGATGAACAAACCAAACCACTAAGGTAAAAATTCCAGTTTCAGGTTACTTGGTAAGGGCAAATGGATGAGCTAATAAATGGTTCACTTTATTTTGGACCCCCCCCCTTCCCCCCCCAGAAAAAGTTCTCGAGAATCAGATCAAATTTCTTCACTGCAAGGAAGCCCAACGAACTAGAGCCCAGAGCAGAGCCTCCATAGGTACGCACGAAGAGGCTTCACCCAATGAACAACTTATGGCCCTTGAGTTTGAGCCTCCCCACTTACGGCCCTCGTCGTCGGTGGCAAAGTCAACGAGCGAGCCAAACGGGTAGCCCTTGCGGCGGTGGTGCATGCGCGACATGATGCTGCAGAGGTGGGCGAAGCGCGCCTGTGTTGCACACGAGGGGGAGCAAGAGAGGAAAAGTTCACTTTTGGATTTCTCAAACAACCCACTCAACCAAACGGGGGTAGCCCTTGCGGTGGTGGGGCGAAGCGAGCCTGTGCGGTTCAAGGGAGACACAATAAGACGATTTTGACATTGGTAAGGTCTAACCTGATTTTTCCGCTGTTTTCTTGTTTAATCAAGATCCGAGTTCCTCACAAGCATTCGTCTCCGTTGAAGCTCTAGTTTAGTGAAAGATAGCAACAGGCTCTGGGTTGAGATTTAAGCTTTTGGGGTTAAGGTTAAGGGTCTCAGCTGTTACCCCCTGCACCACACACACCACCTGCCCCGCCAACATACCATCCGCCTCACCTCCTCCAGAAGGTTGCGCATGGCCACAGTAAGTGAGGGCAGTCCGTTAGACACATAATACCTGCACCACATTCCACCTGCCCCACATGGCACCTGCCCAGCACGCACCTGCTCCACGAGGTTCCGAACGGCAACAGCAGTGGCGCTCTGCACGCCCCCCGACACCGGCACTCGGTACAGCCCCGCCCCCCCGCTGGCCCCCTCTTGCTGCCACTGCCCCACCACACATCAGCCCCAAAAAAACACCACCCATCTCACCTGCTCCACGAGGTTGCGCACAGCCACAGCAGGTGAGGGCAGCCCGTGGGCAGATTGTGAGGCACATACCACCTGCCCAGTACGCACCTGCTCCACTAGGTTGCGCACGGCAACAGCAGGCGAAGGCAGGCCGTGGGCGGCAGTGGCGCTCTGCACTCCCCCCGACACCGGCACTCGGTACAGCCCCGCCCCCGCCCCCCCCGTGCTTCCCCCACTGCCCCCACTGCTGCTGCTGTCACTGCTGCTGCTGGCGCTGCTGCTGTTGCTGCTGGTGCTGGTGCTTCCTGGAATTATTGGTGCTGCTGCGGCAGCGGCGGCGGCGGTGGCGGCTGCGAATTCTGCTGCTCGGTTCTCCGGGTTTGAAGGGCCTTGGTCCGATGAGTAGAATTGGAACTGACAGAGGGGTGGCGAGAAGAAAGCGTGACAGAGAGAGTGTGCACGTGCTTTCTTGCATATCTGCTCACTAGTAAATCCATGTACGCATTTGACCCTGCCTACATGCTTGTTTGTAATGCCACCCATATTCAACGACGAGGATCGCTCGAGAGAGGAGGGATGTGCGACGTGGGGTAGGCGACAAAGTAGAACAGAGTAGAACAGAGTAGAACAGAGTAGAACAGAGTCGAACAGAGTCGAACAGAGTCGAACAGAGTAGAACAGAGTAGAACAGAGTAGAACATAGTAGAACAGAGTAGAACAGAGTAGAACAGAGTAGAACAGAGTAGAACAGAGTAGAAGGTGGACGGGGAGAGGGCTGGATTGGTGGGAACACGAGAAGGGGCAAAAGTGAGAGAGCAGCAACAGGAGGGGGTAAAGGAATGTATAACTCACCTCGTTATCCAGCGATACTGATCCACCCTCCACCAGATCATCCTCCCCCTCCTCTCCTTCCCACTCCTCTCCTTCCTCCCTTTCCTCGCCACCCCTATCCCCTCCATCCCTCTGCTCTTCTTCACCCGGCGGTATGGGGAGGCGTGGTGGGCTGGAATCCCATGGTAGGAGGAGGGGAGGTGAGATGGGAGTAGGCGGTATGGGGAGGCGTGGTGGGCTGGAATCCCATGGTAGGAGGAGGGGAGGTGAGATGGGAGTAGGCGGTATGGGGAGGCGTGGTGGGCTGGAATCCCATGGTAGGAGGAGGGGAGGTGAGATGGGAGTAGGCGGTATGGGGAGGCGTGGTGGGCTGGAATCCCATGGTAGGAGGAGGGGAGGTGAGATGGGAGTAGGCGGTATGGGGAGGCGTGGTGGGCTGGAATCCCATGGTAGGAGGAGGGGAGGTGAGATGGGAGTAGGCGGTATGGGGAGGCGTGGTGGGCTGGAATCCCATGGTAGGAGGAGGGGAGGTGAGATGGGAGTAGGCGGTATGGGGAGGCGTGGTGGGCTGGAATCCCATGGTAGGAGGAGGGGAGGTGAGATGGGAGTAGGCGGGGGTAGGTGGGGGATGCATGTAAAATTTTCCCATCTTGAAAGTTCCCAGGGTCAAAATGGGACAAAGGGGTGGCAATGGGCGGGAAGGCGGGTGGTGGGGAGCTTAGGGAGAGGCAGGATAGGGAGGGTAAATGAAAGCATGGTGATGGGGCTGAATGAGAATTGTCACCCATTAACAACAGCATTCTCATAAGACTAATGGGAAAGAGAAACATGAATTTCTCAGCAGGGAGTTTCTAGTCTAGACTAAGTATTAGGCAGCAGTACAAACAGGCTACGAAACAGACAGGAGTGCAAACTAGACGGTGCATTATCAAACTAGGCCAGCAAATTAGGAACATCAAATGCGAGCGACAGAAGCGTGGCTTCAGATGCCTTCATACGTGCAATGCTCTCCTCTAAACGAGCCCGACGTTGCTGATCAGCACCCTTCAAGGCTACTATCTTGGTTATGTCCGCACGATTATTCTCCCGATTAATCTCCCGCCAGATAGCGCCATCTGTGTCACCCAGGAGAGCATTCTCAAGGCACATCCGTATCTCCATGGAGATCACATCACACAGCCGCTTATGCATCACCTTGGCATACGAAAACACGTTGATCTGCAGATCCCTCGCAGGATGATCGTCGTTGCTGATAAGATTGGCAAGTGAAGCAGTGCCGGATCCAAAGTCTCCGATTGAAGGAGGGGAATCTTGATCCATAACGCCAGGCTGCGAATCCTTATATTCAGCCATTTTCACATGGATCTGGGACACCGTATCCATGTAGTAATGGTTGAGCGTGAAGATAATTTTCTTCTCCTTTGTCAACAGTCCCTGAAAGTAGCGGTTTGCTGACTCCTTGGCCTTCCTCATGGCATCCGCGCCTTGAAGGTGCGCCACGTTGTTCAGCCCAGGATACATCCCACAGACGTGTGATGCCACAGTCTGCTGGACCTGCATTGCATAAGCGAAGCAGTCATTCACCAGCTGCAGGCACGGCCCTTCAATGCTGTCCACCACCTCTTGAACCAGCTGCTTCACCACAATCAGGTCAAACATGTTAGAAAGATACATCCCAGCCACCTCCTTCAGAGCCTCCTTGCACCTTTCGGAGTACTCTGTTGAAAGGAAATCCGGAAGAGCACCCCTCATCTGAACCTCAAACGCCTCGAGCTTCTCGTGCAGCCTCGCAGTATAATGCATTGCATTGTCGCTCTGAAAAGAGCCATAATTCCCACTAATGACCCCACTCATCACCTCACGTCTTTTCTGGATTGTTGAAGAAACAAGGCCCAGAGCTTCAACAATATCGGTTGGGGCGAGCGGAATGGTCTCCAGTTCAGACTCCTTGCGAACAAGAGCCTTCTGAATGGCCTGCCTGATCCTTGGGATGCTGTCTGCAACCCTTTTGGCCTGAAGTTCTGTCAGGCGTTGAGCCAAGGCTGGAATCCCACGGCAATGTGGCTCGAGCTGGGACAACTCTGGATGATTGTTGAAAAACTCCGCTTCTGCCCTTATTGCATCATCATGAGATGCATCAGCGTCAGTCTTGTTCCGGACACACACGTAGCCAAGCCCGACCCGCACTGGATTTTCTTGAATCCTTTGGAAAAGGCCATCTGGAGCGCGGTCAACCTTGGTGACGACAGCCAGGGTGCGATCTCCATCTTCGTCAACCTCTTGCGACATCAGAATGGACTCGCATGTCGTGAAATCCACCTCAGCTGCAAGAACGTTGAGAATGACGCACTCTTTTGGAGTAATGTAATGCATGATAATTGCCTTGACCTGATCGTATATGTCCTTCGGCTGACCGTCAACAGGAACGCGAGTAATCCCAGGCAGATCCACAAGCGTCAAGTTAGGCAAGTCAGACCGCCGAACTTCCAGAGTAATCGGGCAATTCAAGACGCCTTTCAGATCCCCGGCTAACTCCGACGTCGCCTCGGTAATTGCCTGCTCGATCTCTCCTTCATCAGGCAAGACTTTGGACACCTTACCGGTAGTGGGGGTGTATTCAATCGTTACCATTTCCTGTCCTTTCACACATGACTGAAGCCTTAGTATCAGCGGCACTCGGGTGACGATCCCCTTGCCTCTCGGCTGGCTGATTCCGGACAGGCCCCCCAGGACAGACGACTTGCCGCTGGACTGATCACCGATCACAACGGTCGTCGGGAGCTCAATCCCCTCTTCCTTGAGACCTAGAAGCCTGAGCCTGTCGATCGCATTCAGCATCGGACGGACATTCTCGTTGAAAGAGGAGATGAGAGGAGCCATGGTGAAGCGAGGAGAGTTGAGCTGAGGAGAATCGGAAATATGACATCGCACCTTTAGGGTTTAACTGGCTGGAATTTATCTGGAAGACAGTAGCACCACTGGCAGCAGTAGCACCCATCACCAAAATGTTTCTGACCCTAGCGTGACCCACCTTCCGGCCTGACCCAAGCCTGTCCTGTAAATGCCCCCAGAGTTTCTTTGGGGTCAAATTGGGGGAAAATCTCAGCCAAAACGGGTCGTCAAGCCCGACGACCTGTTGACGACTTGACGACATGCTGCCCCGGGCAGGAAAAAACTAAAACCCCATCGGATGGCATGCCATCCGAGGGAGCCTCAACCCTAAACACCATGCCTCCAGGTGTTTAGGGTTGATGCCTCCCTGACCGGATGCATGCCCTTCTGGGGTTTATTTTTTTTGCCCGCGGGCAGCGAGCTCCCCCGGGCGGACTCGCTTGTCCGCTGAGATATATTCGGCGTTAGTGGTCACAACAGGGTCAGTTCTGGGTCAGTGAGTTTTTTGACCCAAAAGTAACCTGCCCCGCACAGCCCTTGGGGATCTGGGGATGCGGGTTCGATACTTGTCGCTGGCAGTTGTCGACTCGAATTTTCTATTGACTTGAAAAAAAAAGTTGTTTGTAAAAAAACAGAAAATTTAGCAGTGCTACGCAGGATTCGATCACCTACCCTTCGGATTAACAATCCAACATTGAACCACTAGGCCTAACTTCTTATAGCACAGACTGTACATACTAATTACTTGTGTTTCATAACGAATGCAAAACTGCCTTGGGTTTCGACTTCCATTCTATTTCTGGTGGTGTCCACCAACCTCACCTCAGAGCATATATCCTTTCACTTCCCCACAATTCGCATTTTGTTCTACCTGCTCCAATGTTGAATCTTAGACATTTCACTAATCCTTCCATCAACCCTTAGCTACCTTGAGCTCTTTCTTAAAAGTATTCCTACCCCACCTTCTTTCCATTTCCATTTCTCAGTTACGACTGCCGGTGTCTGTACATTCCTGTAATGTATACGATATATATATATATATATAAAAAAAAAAACCTTCTTTCCATTTCTATCTGCCCTCATTGCAGGCTTTGATTTCTGTCAGCAACAGCCACTTTCTAGTCATTGTATACGCATCTCAAGGTAATGTCTTGCTTCGATGAGTTTTTTATGGTTAGATTTCATGGCCACTTCGTTTTCTGCCGTACATGTCATGTCCTGTGTGTTAACGTCTGTCCCTAAGGAGCGTAGGATGGGCGCTGCTACGTTGCGAGCAGCTAAGGGACGGACGGGCGCTGCCGCAGTCGCGAGCAACTAAAGGACGCGACTGCGCTGCTACGTCGCGAGCAGCTAAGTGACGCGACGGGCGCTGCGTCGAGCATCTAAGGGACACGACGGGCGCTACTACGTCGTGGGCAGCTTAGGGACGCGCCAGGCGCTGCGACAAGCGCCGCTAAGTTCACGCCTTATTGCTATGTCCCATTGTTAGCAGTCACATTTTTTTTTTTGTTACGCTTCTAACTGAAATCATTTTTGCTTTTTTGTTACCTGTACATTTGTTAATTCCAATTGAGTTTTGCTTCCCGTTATTAACCTTTCTGTGGCAGAAAACGAGCGTCATCACAACCTGTGATTCTTCAGCGACAAAACTCTAGTCAATGATGGTGATTCATCTGATTTTTTACCACTGCTGTTATTTCTTATAATTATATCAATCTGTCTTTCCGATACTGCGATCTCTGAAAGCCGTCTTTCCCAGCAGATTGTTGTTTCATTTTCCTGACTTTGCATTATATCCTTTCTTTCCGCCGTTGCGATCTATGAAGTCACCTCCCTTTGCAGATTGTTGGTTCTTTTTCCTTAACTTTGCAATCTATATTTCACGCATCACGTTTCTTTGCTTACTCGCAGGACAGATAGTGAAGGTAGTGGAGGTGGTTTGTATATTTGTCGATGGATCTTCGTGTTGGTTGTTTCCGACATTTTATTACTGTCAGCTTGTCTCATGTCAGCTTTTTTTTAGTCTCTACATGCAGGTGCATATATGTTGTGAATATTAATTTGGAAAAACTATGCTGCGTCGCCACCGCTTCCGCGTCGCCTCCACTTTCCGGCCCTTATAACAACCTGACATGGAAACAAGCACGTGGAGATTATTTTTATTTTGCCATGCCTGATGTTATTTTGGGGCACAGCAGTGAAGGTGATGTTTCCAGATTACAAGGTGATAATTGCTAAAAGATTGTTCTGGTTTTTATATTCTTTAGATGGCACTATCTCATGTGTAACGCCTTTCACCCTTTAATGTGTGTTGATTTTGTGTTGTCAGGTTATTTTAGCTGTGCAGTGATTTATATATTCTGGGGCAACTGTACAAGGCCCTGTTTATTACGTAGTCATGCTGATGTTGTTATTTGACGTTCTGTTGTTATATAGTGAAATATATATTATACATTTTTTACAAAAAAAAACTTATTCCAAAAAAAGAACACACTGTAAAGGGGATATAATCAGGCCACGCGCTGGCCACGTGTGACCCGAAACTGCCCCAAATCTGACTTTCCCGCCAAATCTTAACCCGTACCTGACCCGTACCTGACTTTTCCCGCCAAAATCTTAACCCGTACCTGACCATTACCTGACCCGTACCTGACCCGAAAGTCACTTTTGGGTTAGCCGGTCTGACCTCAGACTAACCTAAAGTGACAGTTCCAAAAGTAACTTTTGGGACAGATTTCCAGATGTCCCGAATCTTGCCCGGAAGTCACCTGGGGGTCCCTTTTGGGTCAGTACATTTTAGAGATGCCACTGGCAGCAGCAGCAGCAGCAGCAGCAGCAGCAGCAGCAGCAGCAGCAGCAGCAGCAGCAGCAGCAGCAGCAGCAGCAGCAGCAGCAGCAGCAGCAGCAGCAGCAGCATCACTGGCAGCAGCGGCCGTTGCACGCCGGGTCCCCCTACCTCCTCGATCGAGTGGTCTCCATCCATCCCCTCCCTGGGCTTCCCCCAGCGCTGCGGGGTGACTTGCACCTACGGGGGGAATGATGGAGCACGGGGACAGGTAGCGATAAGGGGGACGTATCGATGGGAGGGACTTCGTGTTCCAGCAATTTTCGGGCTTCACCTTTCAGGGTTCTGGCTGGAATTTAGCTGGAACCCGAAACCCTCGTCGTCTTCTTCAGATTGCCCACTGTTTCCGAGTTGGTTCTGTACGCCCGCGGATAGACTGGTCTTTGTGATGACGCCGAAATGTTTTTGGGCAAGCAGCGCAAAACCCAGGCAGGCGAAGCGCTGGACTCGGTAGGTGGAATACGGTTCTAGGGTGTTGTGAAATTTCCGCGTGACTGGAGTTTAGCAGTACCGTCGCTGGAACCCGAAACCCTCGTCGTGTTTTTCAGATAGCCCACTGTTTCCGAGTTGGTTCTGTTCACCTGTGGATAAACTTTTTGGACTTTGTGAATGACGCCGAAATGTTTTTGGACAAGCAGCGAAAAACCCAGGCAGGCGAAGCGTTGGACTCGGTAGGTGGAATACGGTTCTAGGGTGTTGTGAAAATTTCCGCGTGACTGGAGTTTAGCTGTAAAGTATAAGTATAAATTTGATTTGCTACATCCCACCAAAGACAAGTGTTATCAATTTGCCCTACACACAACCAGTACCACATTATATGAAATTTACATAGCAGATTTTTTTTTGTCCTTTTACTATTTCTGAAGGCAAGAATTTCCATTTGTCAAAGTATGAAGGTAGTTGGTTTGGATAAGGCATATTGTTTCTTCAATATAGATGGATAACAACTTTTTATTTTTATTTTTAATGTAGCGAGTGGGATTTAGCGAAGGATCGCTCAGGGTTGCTCGCAGGTAGTGTTGCAGCGGAAGTGTTGACCTCAGATCAGAGTGAATATAAATGACTG